ATACTGCAAACATTAAAAAAATTATCGATGAGTCTGAGTGTCAGCCTTCTCATTGAACGTGCTTTTTCATTTTTCAATGTTTATGTTCATGATAGTGCGTTACTTTTTGTTATTATTATTAACTATTTTCAAATCATACGTGACATGCCGTTGTGGCTGGATAAAAGTTTGTGTTTATTTTTCAAACACCTTCGTTTGATAGGTAGGAATGTAGCTATGAACAAGTACGTACTAGTAATATTAGTTATTTTGTTATTAGTTTATTATTAGTACCTATGTATTATGTATTACCAGTTAAATAGTAAAATAAATACATATAATGATAAATTAACTGTGGATTATTTCATTTACGTTGCGTTACGTGGCTTCCCTGTGGGTAGCTCGCTGTTTATTCCAAAATTAACAAAGTAGCTCAACACATTGAATAGGTTGGCGACCACTGGTTTACGATAACAGGAGACGTTCAAGAAAGTGTTTGTACACCGATGAGCCACCAAGGGCACTCACCCTCAACGAGATCCCTTTGAATAGCATTGTATATAGCACTATATCATCAATGGAGGAATAAAAACCAAAAACTTTTTCTCAAACATTTCATCGCTTCTAATCATTTTTCGTTTTAAGAAATACTGTTCTTTATGTTTTGAAAAAACGGCAACAATTTCCACCATTTCCACTATGAAGTAGGCCGGTCCCGTCGAGTAGGATCAGTCGCTAGATGGATATTCATTGATTATAATGAATTTTCAATTCATCCAGTAAGTGATATTTTTCAAACACATAAAATATAATAAAAGTATAATGCCGTTCATTCATTTGAGGTACAAACAGGACAAATCCCAAATCATTACGTGCAATTATACACAAGAATATCACAAGTGACTGTTCAATATTGAAGGCGCTTAGAAACGTGTCGGTCAAACGTTATGAACCAAATGATGCGCTAGCCTGAAAGTGAAAGTGTATATTTGCCTCGCACATCAAGTTGTGTGTAGAATGTTTACAACAAAGTGAATTTCACCAAGTAAACAAATATGGCGGCTCAATGGTCTAGGGGTATGATTCTCGCTTTGGGTGCGAGAGGTCCCGGGTTCAAATCCCGGTTGAGCCCAATTTTTTGCCTGGCCCAGTACGACTTCATGAAGACATGAAAGGGATCCGTTCAGAAATAATTTATTTCAATCTGTGTTTTTGTTTGGAAAACTTTCCATATATTAATGAATAGATCAACGGCCTTCTATAAGATATTCACATGAAAGCTATGGCACCACAAACGTTACATTTGTTTTTGGTCGATATGATAATGATGGAGCTGAAGCACCTCAAAGAAATTATTGAGGCTCTTTGGTCTCGTCAGTACAGTGTAGCTCAGTTGCAGAAAACAATACAAATGTACGGAGTCAGCTACAGAGGTCAAACCGCCTCTGGTCTGACCTCTGTAGATCATGCACTCAAATATCGCTAATCGCAGACACGTGTTTCTGGCTCTTTGGTCTCATCAGTACGATGTAGCTAAGTGCGAGGATTGGCAATATTTAGTCGTAGTTATGGATGGAGTTCAGATCGCCTCTGGGGAGAGTTTTCACCAACACAACGTCTCCATGAAGGCAGCTTTAGCCACCTGTGAGACGTTTGGGTCCAAAATGTAATACAAGATGGGAAAGAAAATTCATGAACAAAGCACTCAGAAATTACTAACCACAGACACATGTGTCTGGCTCTTTGGTCTCATGAGTACGATGAAGATAAGTATATAGATTGACGTTAGGTACTCGACAGAGACTGAAGGTAATTGTGTAATCCACAAATAGTTACAAAAATTTAGTTTTATATGTGTCGAGTACATATCTGTTGGTTTCCTTTTTCAACCAAGCTTTCAATTCAGTATATCTCTGAAACATTTCACACTCTCGTTCTTTGACGCTAATGCTATGACACGTTCAAATCGCAGTTTGTTCATACTTTCATTGAAGAGTACTTGTCCACCTGGTACTCCAACCATGAAAGTTTCAGCTGTTCCAAGTCAATTCTGATGAATATTTTTTTTTTATTTTCAATGAAATAATTTTCTCTGTCATTATGAAACCTGTCATATCCACTGAAGGCATAAATGAAAAAGAGATGATTTGTTGTAATATCCATTCCAATAAACTAGTTTCTGTCGAAGAAAATCGTCGTAAGTCATTATTTCTTACTGTAATGCTATCTCAATCTGTAATGTTTCAATTGAACTTTATCCTTTATCAGTATAATGTCATTTCCATTCAGTGGAATCGTCAGTCTTGCACATTGTAGCAGAAATAAGAAACAGTACAATAAAACACGAATACAACCAAATCATACGTGTATGATTACTTTTTTGCTAAAATTACCTTCTTATCGCTGAAAAGGATACCATGAATATGAAATATGAAACTATAATTGGATACAGTTTCTTTTCATTACCAACGAATTAATTCAATGATACTATTGAAGGTATGTTTGACAACCCCAAATAATTTATAATAGCTTGTTCACATTTCAATAGTGACTTTATAAAGGGTGATTTTTTATAAGGTATAGGATTTGATTTTCGAAACAACACAAAAAATTTGGAAAAACTGATGAAATCTTTATTGGAATCGATCAATATAATTTAATGTTTGAAGATGATTTCATGCAAATGTTGTTCACCGCTCCGCTTTAGATGGTCCATGCGCAAGGCCCAATTTTGGCTCACTCTCTTTAAAATATCGACCGGTATTTCACGTATAAATGCTTCAATATTGGCTTCCAGAGCGCCAGTCGTTGCTGGTTTATCCCTGTAGACATGAGCCTTAACATGACCCCACAAGAAATAATCCAAAGGCGTTAAAACACGGTCTAGGTGTTGACGGACCCCAAACGTGAGATGAACTGTTCACCAAAGGTAACTTTGGTCCATTGTTTCGCGTGCCGTGTGGCATGTGGCACCGTCTTGTTGAAAACACATGTCAGGCATGTCCAATTCTTCCATTTTGGGCAACAAAAAGTCGTCAATTATCACACGGTAGCGCTCGCCATTCACAGTAACGTTCCGGTCATTGTAGTATTTGAAGAAGTACCGCCCGATGATGCCATCGACCCATAATCCACACCAAACGGTGACTTTTTCGGGATGCATTGGTAGCTCTTGCAATGCTTGTTAACGTAGCCATTCAACCAGAAATGAGCCTCGTCGCTGAACACAATTTTTCGATAAAAATGTGGATCTTCCTCCAACTTTGCCAGCGCCTAATCACCAAATGTTAGACGTTGTGAGAGGTCGTGTGGCTTCAATTTTTGCACCAGCTGTATCTTACAAGGTTTCACACCCAAATCCTTTCGCAAAATTTTCCACGTAGTGTAGTAACAGAGGTCCAATTGCTGCGAACGGCGGTGAATCGATATTTCACGGTCATCACGAACACTGGCGGATACAGCCGCAACATTTTCTTCGGTCCCCACTCTACGTATGCATGTTAGTGGTTTAATGTCCAATAATGTAAAATGAGTTCGAAATTTAGTCACAAGCTTCCAAATAGCATCCTCAGTAAACTGTCCATAAATTGGAAAAAATGCACGATGCACTTTCTTCACCGAGCATGAATTTTGATAATGAAATTCAATAATTTGCAAGCCTTGTTCATTCGTAAGTCAATTCATGGTTAAATTATAGACCAAACTGAATAAGTTTGACAATGACACAAGTCATGATTCACGCGTGATCTGTCAAAAACAGTTTTGCCAAAAAGATACCATCAAAAAAATCACTCAGTGCTTTTTTACTACAAATAAAAGTACATTGACTTCAACACGTACGGGCTTATCAAAGAAGTTCATTTGGTCAGTTTCTCTGTGATGTATGATTCATGAAATGCTCAGCTAATTGAAGTAGCCCTATAATCGATCCTTGCGGCGCATAAAAAATCTATTATTTTTATTGAGTCACTGAATTTTAATGTAATTTCATCAGGGTATGGAGAAAATATCGAAGGCCAGTTTCACAGCCGGAGTACTTTCCGATGACGAGCTCAATCGAGCTATTCAGGGACAAAGGAAGATGTTTCCTGAAGGTATTCCTGAATGCGGATCGGATGCTCTACGATTCACGTTGCTGTCGCACAACATAAAAAGTGAGTAGTAATACATGAATTTGATTTAAAAAATATTTCAACACTAAAAAAAAACTGTATTACCTAACGACGGTTGTGGTTTTGTCCATATTTATGTCTCCTTGTTTCGTAATAATCACGACCACCCTTCCTTCTTCTATCAGTTCTACATCTGTGCTTCTTTTACATTTCTGAAAAACTTCCCCTGGCCATTGCATCTCCATAAGTTCTCTTGTATCTTCTTCGTTCAGATCCTTCTCCAGTTCTGTTTCTATTTTACTAACCATATTAGTTCTCTCCTCCCAATCGTCCACTGTTTGAGTGCCTATCCCCCTTGTTTCCTTTATAGTCTGTATCTGTGGTACACATTCTGGCTTTTGCCTTTTCTCTGCCCTCTCCTCCGCGTTAAGTTCTTCCATCACCTACGCCATTACTCCTATCGCTTTGGGCATTTTATTTACGTAGCCGTCTAATTCATTAATGGCCTTCATTATTTCTTTTTTTGTGTTTGGTATCTCCGTGATGACTTTTTTAACCATTTCTAGCTCCTCTGCCATTTTCTTGGCTATATCTTTGAGTGTCTTGAACTCTTTCTCTAGTGAGAGTTCTGCTTTTTCTTGCCCAGTTTTCTCTGGGGTCTCCTCTCTTTTTCTTTTGTCTGTTTCTGTTACTGGTGTGGAGCCCTTTTCTCTCTCTGCAGTTTAAACTCTTATTGAAGAGTATTCTTTTTTACCCTTCTTTTGAAACGCTTCCGGTATTTCTCCTGTTAAATTTCGTTTATTTTGCACTTCCATTTATACCACACGAGCAGCTAGGGAATATCTAGATCCGCTGGCGCAGAGCCCCGCTCACGCCAGTAAGGCTTTATATTCCGGGAGGTCGCCCGTTATCCCGGAAGCACCGTTCACGACCACGTCCGTGTGATCACGCACCCCTCGACACGGTAGCTAACGTCTTGGGTTCCGGATTTTTCCGGTTTACTCCATTGTAGATGTAGACATGAAAGTGAAAAATCCCTAGCCCTCGAATGCTCCAATAGCGTCGGGATCGGAAACGAACAAGAGTTGACCAAGGGAGGCCTGCCAGTAAAGATGAAAGATGAGGGATCCCACCCAAGACTAGTTGAAAGAAGGTGAGAATCCATCTTGGGCACCAGTAGTGCACCCCTGGGGTGATAGAAGCTAGGTTAAGTTAGGTTAGGTCCACAGTGAGTGGGTCTATTCGACCCTCCACCACAACCCGCAAGGTTCTTAACGAAGCCGATTATTCTGTATGGTGAGTAGCCTTTCAGGTCAGATGGTAAGAGTACGGCTCTTCAGAACTCTAAAAACCTGATTCGGTCCCCAGCGGGGCAGGCATAAAGTATATGCTCTGCTGTTTCATCGTTGATGAGATAGTTGGATAGTCGAGGTGCAAGATTCCCACCTTGATACCCGCGCCAACCTTCCCATATGAGGATTTTTGCACGTCAGCTACACCTGACGATGTCTTAGATTCAACCGTGCAGGGCTTTTTCGCCTCTGGTTTCGGTGAATCATCACTTGAGCGCAAACGTTTGCTTACCTGCTCATGAGGGGTTTCTTCCTTCACCTGAGACAGATTCTGCGTACGCTGCTAAAGAATTTGGTTCAAGGCGGTTTCATAAGGTACCCCACTCTTGACGTCGTTTCCTGGCCAGTCGTTTCATGGCTACACCACCAAATCTCATGTTTAGGTTCAGTTATTTGATCAGGGGTTGGAGAGTGGAGAAGCTGTCGCTCTCGATCTAAATTTACAGAGAGTTCAGTTGGAGTCGTGAGCTCGACATCCATCTCCTCTGTAGACTCGTTCCTGATCTAAATCTACAGAGAGGTCAGTTACAGTCGTAAGCTAGACATCCATCCCCTCTGTAGACTCAGCGTCAGAAAGAAGTTTTTAAGTTTACTCTGTCCATAAAAGTCCCACGAGTAGGTAGGGCGAGAAGGTCAATCACGGCAGGGCTACGCATTACCGTGACTAGGCGATGCTACGACGAGAGATCGCCTGGTATCTCGAAGGTTCCGTACGCTAGTTGCACACACACCGATTTTGGACGGCCAGTATAAAATCGGCAGATATTTTATTGGTAGCGGGTGCTTGCACACTCACTGGATTTTTATCGGTCAAACAATCAGTTGCTGTGTTGTCTTAATTAGCACGCACTACCAAAACGAACTTAATGCGTAGTAACTACAATTTCACCGAGCATTCGAAACTGTAATGGTCGGTAAGAAACCGGTGAGTATGCAAGAGTGTATTTAGTCATGTACGCCACTACTTCCTGGTACTGCCGGCGATACAGTGGCAGTGGACGGCTGCTCACCGGTATTTTATCGGCGACGATCACCGGTCGGCGTGTGTGTCAGGTCCCATTTCAACATTTGGTTCACTATTGGAATTTGGACGACCGGTACAAAGTCGGCCGTCCAAAATCGGTGTGTGTGCAACTAGCGGTAGAGACAAATGATTCTGTCACTCCCGTATCCAGCGGGGCTACGTGAAAGCAGGTATTCGATGGCTAGTTTGCTTAACTCCCACATGCCAAGCCAATGCACTCGCCAAAAACAGCTTACACAGTGGTTCAGGCAGTGACTGATGAACAAGGACACCCAACTCGCCCATCTAGTAGTTACTAAAAGACTAATTAACAAATTTGTATTGATTCCTCTCAACTTGTACTCAATGAACTCTTTCTTGAAAATATTCAACACATTGATTGTGGTACTTCAATTTTAATAACATACCTGAGTATGAAAGCTATTTTCTGGTTTTTTGACCGTGTTCTGCAGGTTTTTATACCTGAAGTTTCGTCTACTACTGCGGTAGACGCCTGTAGTAACGGTGGCAGTGCACGAGTCCTATCGTTCTGAAAGCATCATTTACGATTCTGGTATTCGACTCTGGTTTTATTTTATTATTGGGTGTGGCTTGATTTCTCCTAAATGGATTACCTGACCTTGTTTGTGTACCTTTAAGGACAGGTAGCTAGATTTTTATTAATGTTCGTTACCTCCTCTTTTCTATTGATACTATCCCTATGTTTTTGAATTTCTATTTCCTCTCTATATACTCTTAAATAATAATTTCTATCGAGTATTACTGGATCCTTCGTTGAGAGCACAAATGCTGATTTTCCAACAGGCGACTTTTCAACTCGAGTGGTTTTTTCTCATTATAAAATCTATTTCAACATACAATCTGGAAATCAATATATTTGGACTGGCGTTTTTCTGGCTTCGAAGTACAGAATCAAGCAAAGCTGAACTGGATGTCATTGATTTTGATTAAAATGATTATACAACTGAAGAGACAAGAAGAACAGTTTTCTTCATCTCCTGAATACGCCAACTTACTTGGCGAAACGCGCGTAGAAGAGTATTGTGGTTCTGGTGATGTATTTGTTGGAGGTTTGCGAAGTTAGTAAGTTATTTATATGAATAATATATAATATCGGTACAAAAACCGTACCTTGTGGTACTCCACAATGTACTATCCCTTTCAAATATGATTTAAATATGCTGTAAACATTCCCATTAGCTCCCATATCTTGCAAAGCCTCCAACAACTGAGTAAAGTCCACCTTATCGGATGAAGGAAATTTTTCCAGTAAATATTAATTTATTTTTTTGCAACTGAAGCTCTGCATTCATTTCACAACGTAGACATCATTATTCAGCAAAATGAAATCAATCAGGCCATATTTCAGTTAATTATTTTCCGCCCGAAATATCACCCCTTCTGCTGCACATTCTCATCGAATCTCTCCGTTTCTCGGAAAAATAAGAAAATTTTCGGGGTACACGATAAGCATTTTCCACCGTTGAAACGACCTTCTCGAGGCGGAACAAATGGCGCGGAACACACACATTTAAAATATCAGCGTGATTCGGAAAAATTTATTTAAATGAGTGGTTTTCCGAATGTGCGATTTTCACGGCGCCAGACGCCGGAAAACGGTCGTAACTTGACGGAGTGGAAATGACGAAAAATAATATCGAATAGCTGGATATAACATTTGTGCGAGACGAAATAATGGCCGGCGGCGCTGAAACCTTCACATCTAGCCCGGGAATTAGATTTCGAGGTGGATGAATACTTTCATTGGAAATAATAATAATAATACAACTTGTGTTTACATACAAGACAAAGGTAAAAGAGGAATTCATTGCAAATAAATATTGTACAATTCACACCAGCAATATGTTACTTTGTTACTGTTACTGTTGGATTCTGTGTTGCGGTGTTTTGAGATGAAATACTTTTCAGCTGTCGGTCACTTCGATATCTTCGTTACTAAATAACAGGTTTTTTTAATTCTGCTTCTTCAGTTTCACTGTTGCAAACCACTATTTTGACTATCTGTTATTTTCAAGATCACTTCATAAATTTCGACGTCACCGAATGCTACACCAATAAACTCTTCTGCAACAAAATTTGGCAGGCGACAAAATTCACCAGGTTGTGGTTCACCAACGTTTCGAACGAACAGAAACTATCAGAAGTGCAGGTCAAGCATCTCGGATTGATGGATAAGTGGATTCTCAGCAGGCTCACGTTCATGGTGGATACTGTGAACCGTGGATTAGAGAATTTTGATTTTTATGTGGCAACTACAGCTCTGAAGAATTTTTTGTACTATGAGTTCTGCGATGTATACTTGGTGAGTGTTTAATGTTTGTTCTGGTTTATGTATAAAGTTTGAAATGAAAAAAGCAAATAGATGCAAATTCTTGGAGAAGAAATTGATCGAAAAGACAGAAACATCATAACTATTCCAATTTTTTTGTCTTATTGTTTTGTTATTGGGTTGTTTCAACATTTTTGTCTTTTTAAAACTGTAATATCTCAGTGAAAACTCATTAAATTTAGGTCGATCAATTCCGGCATCATAAAAATTATGTGCTCGGACCAGGCCGTTTTGCCTGGTCATGAGAAAGCAAAAGCAGCCTTCTTCGACTGCATCGAACATAGAATTTCAATGCTAAGAGATTCAATCGACTTGTAACAAAAGTGCACCAATTCAAATGACGCTTATTTCGATTTAATTGAATGAGTATCAACTCAGCCGCTCTTGATTTATAAATGTTGTGACTAACACGATTTTGTGACGTTTTATATACATCACGAATCGAGAACCCCAACCGAAGTCACAATAACAGATTAACTGATATGACTGACTGAACTTATGTAGAGAAGATAATATTTTTGTACCAGGTTTTATGTATTAATGAAAGTAAGGATTTTGTAGGTGCTAATAATGATAGAATAGAATTATATCAACTGTGATAGAATCACTAATTGGGAAATATGAAAAAAATGAAAAAATTGGGCTCAACCGGGATTTGAACCCGGGACCTCTCGCACCCAAAGCGAGAATCATACCCCTAGACCATTGAGCCGCCATGTTAGTTAATCAAGAACAATAATATTCAAATCAACAATTGTATAAATTGTTCATATCAATAACGTAGTAACCTACTTTTACAGATATTGTCTTCTTATACTAAACGTGTACAAAATTGTACATTACCTACCTCAGCCAACTCCAGTAGCTGTAGTTTTAGCCATTTATAAGTTATTTATTCATGGACTTTGAGAAGTCATTACAGGTAATTTTTGAACCGTAAAAAAACTAGTGAAACAATAGAAACTTTTGAATAAGGAAGTATTTCTTATTTATGAACCAAAAAATTCTTGGAACTGGTTCTATGGCCGATTTATTTTCCCTATATAAAAAAATTAACATAAAATTAAGTCAGATTTTGTATTCTTTTGTATATATTATCATTCATAAGAGAGTGCATCTGTTGTATGGAAATTGGGAAAATCACAATTCAAAGTCGCTCTGAAATTGAATTGAATGTCAAATTAACTGATATGATTAATCACTATTCACTAGTGTAGCGACTCATATCTGAACATAGAATTTTTATGCAAATCTATAGACCAATGTGGCTTACTCGATTCCATGTACTTTAAAAAAAACGGTAGGAACCGTTAATATCGCTGTTCATGTGACGATTGTGTTGCATATTCTATAAAGCAAATTGACAGGTAGATGTGAATTATGATGAAATATTATCTTAGGTTATGTTTGCAAATGTAGGAAAGTACCGATTTTTTCGAATCACTCGATGATACATAAGAATCTAGAATTATCAACGATGTCAGTTTGTTTGCCTTGTGAAAAAATCTATTTGTATGTCAATATTGGACTATAGGACTGAAATCGAACTAGTTTAGTGATATTAGGCGCGTATTATAGGCAGATATATCCGTCCTGTCACATACAGACACAATGAACAATAAAGAAGTTCTTATCCTAAAAGAGGAACTTATAGTTTTACAATCAATATGCACAATGACAAATACTTATGTAAAAACATACACTAATTCCCTATTGTTTCATATTAAAATACTCAGTGAGGTCGTAAAACAAATCAATTTGTACATTTTTTTTCATTGCGCTTCGGAATTTGGATAGTGTGGTCTCATTTCTAATATTCACTGACAACTTATTGTAAGCCTTTATACCCATGGAAATTGGTCCCTTTGACACCAGATCAAGATTGTCAAGTCTAGGATAGAACATGACCACGCAGGCAGCTATAGCTACCTAAAATTCCCAGGCTACATCTAACATGACCACGTAGGCAGCTATAGCTACCTGGTCATGTTAGATGTAGCCTGGGAATTCTAGGTCTTCTAACTGGAACAACGGCAAACAAGTGTTGCTCATCTTTGCACTTGGCTGCACCGCTCTGATGAGGCCAATAGCCAGAAACACGTGTCCGCGGTTTGCCCCCCCTTTTTGGAATGTTGTGTCCACGAATTGTTTCATTTTTGATTTGTTTCAGGACCACTCGATAAAATCTCTATTTGTATTTATATCCTGGACCCGGATGTCACGCAGGTAGCTATAACTGCCTACGTGGTCATGTTAGATGTAGCCTGAGAATTCTAGGTCTTCTAACTGGAACCACAAATGTCCTATTTGCTCCTGTTGTTGACTCCGTGCGTTTGTGTTGTTTCTTCATTTTCGGCAAACAAGTGTTGCCCATCTTTACACTTGACTGCACCGCGCTGATGAGGCCAATAACCAGAAACACGTTTCCGCGGTTTGCCCCCATTTTTGGAGTGTTGTGTCCACGAATTGTTTCATTTTTGATTTGTATCATGCACACTCGACGAACGATTATATATCTTATTATTCTTTTGTTAAAGAATCCTCTAAATATTCCTTATGACTGTAGTAAAATTTGTCCAGTAATAAGTTTTTAACATTCTTACTGAACAAATTAGCAGAATTCAACCTCTTTATAGAAAGAGGCAGTCTGTTATAAAAATTGATGGCATTATACAATGGAGATTTTTTTGAAATGATCACTCTTATGTAAAGGGACCCTGAAAGCAGTAGCAAGGCGAGTATCACGACCGTGAATGCTCAAGTTCGTTATGTACAAGTCAAGGTTCCTGTGCACAAAAATGACACATTTCATTATATAAATTGGGGGTGCAGTCAACAAGCGTTCTCTTTTGAAAACGGGTCTACAACTTTCTTGGTACCCCAGGTTGAATATCAATCTTATCAGTCGTTTTTGAGAGATGAAAACTCTAGAAGAAGCATGCATTCGCAAAGTAAACATTTAGTAAACCAAACCTATCTAAACAATGTTTTAACTGTTTGATCGAGTAATGAGCGGAATTACGTTTACTGCCCACTTTTTGTATGTGACTTCTCCAGGTGAGATTCTCTTCTGAAATAGTTCCACACAGTAGGATAAATATGGAGGCATGGAGCTACAAAACACACAACATTAACAGTGACAAAACTCTTGAAGCGACCTTATGCTTCTTTCAGGACTGTATTTTTTTTTCTATTCGATCAGCTTCAATATTTTACCATTCAGATTTCTAATGAGCCCCGTTGACTAACGAGGAATATTTCCCGTACGCCACTCCTAGTATATTTCCTTCCTTCTCTGGCTGTTTTCTGTTCTTCGGGAAATCTCATTACATCCATTACACCTACGTGTCTACTATGCAAAGATGTGATGCAACCTGAACTTTAATAGTCCTCTGATCTTGTTTCAACTCCCTATAGTAGGTACGTCACATCTATCTATAATGGGATTTTCGTGTACTCAACCTTTCCATATTCCTATATTTTCCCCTCAAATATTTGGCCTGCTCCTTTATGAAGGAAATGGCTGAGCGCCGATTGCGATTTTCCGGATTTTCCCAAGGATGTGATGCCGTCGGCATTCACTTTTGACTGCCCTATGGGCGATAACTGGAGATTTGCTGAACTGGTAATAACTTTTGTGATTGTGAAATATGTTTCTCTGTTTATCTTCAATTCCGGCACCTTTCACCAGAGATGTGCGAAGGAAAATTCATAAATTATCAACGATTTGGTTTTTCGCTACGGATAGTCAGTAAAGTAATATTACTTTCCTGACATGGAGCAGTTTTTCATTTATGAAAGTGTGTCTAATATAAAGTTCCCTGACAAAACGATGCTGTCGAAATTTCAACACATTATCTGCACGTGTTTTTGGATGATATATCCGTCCATGGTGATTTGGCATAACAAACCAAATGACTGACAACTAATTTGATGGCCGTTATCAAATGTCGATGTTCAGAAGTTCCTGTTGGAAGACCCTATATGTTCTACGTCTCCAAAAACACTTTGTTCATGATTTCAATCATTTATCTATTGCTGTGAAGGGAAGTACAATAAACGTGAGTCATTCATCTCTCATTTTCAGCACCTAATAGTGTGATGTAGCTCAACAGAATATATATTATTTTATACATTGAAACAAAAATAATCTTTTTCTGAGAAGGAACTGCGATTAGGATATGTTACAAATGTAGTTATTTTTATTTGCTAACAAATGAAATTTTATTAAACAAAATAGAAGATTTCAGTATCATTTCCAAGGTGAGACAGAGAAATCACTTGACTAGAACATCTGAAATTTAAAAAATATAAAAGATTTCTTTATGGTTATCTTGTACATGTTTCTTGTGTTTCGCAGTTGTCTCAAAACATCAACTGTAATCGATAGGATAATGGAAAACTTGGAAGTATTCTCACGATAGTTTTCAAAAAATGTTCCAAATAGTACATAAGGGACTATATGAGCTGCAGATGCTAAATAAGCACACAGTATCACTCTGGATTCCCTCACGTATGTGTTGAAAAAATCTGTTGAAATCTGTTTTTCCGTTAATCAGCGGTCGCCCCTCTATGAACAACAACTCTCAAAAGTCGAAAATTGTGCGAGCTAAGGACTAACGAGGTCTTACCTCTTAACGTGTGATTCCTAACATGGGCTGGACGATAGGAAGTGAAAATTGATCGTCCGGCCTTGCGGTTCGAACATCGGTTCGCACAGCGGTCGATTGGGTGAATGAAGCAAATCACCCCCGTCAACCTAACATGCTTCCGTCCAACGTCCCTCATCCTTAAGATTATGCAAAAGCTCTATAAATGAGGCTAAAATTGAACCATCCATGACATCGGGAGTGGTCTTTGATCTTTTAAAGAGTTTTCTGAGGGGCCGAAAATAAATGGAATACTTCTTAATAGCTTATTTATGTATTCTATGAAACTTTTTAATTGTATATTGTATAGGGGAATCCCTCGAGATCCGAATACCTAGTTCAATTGAAAACGGTTACATAAATGCACTGATCAGATAATGTATCTATACAAAAAGTAAACAGTTTTTCAAATTGATCCAGAATTTTTGTTTTTCAAATTTTTTTGAAGCATTCGGTTATTGTAAAATTTGATATCAAATACAGATAGTAATTCCAGTATTTTTTTCTCTGACGAAATAAAGGAAACGACGAAACGCGGACTGAGAAACGCGAAAGAACCTGGAGCCGTGAGCCACTGCTGGACCCTTTGCACCTCTCTGGATACTAGCCTCAGGGCATTGGCCCCCTTCATGCCCGTTTTGTCGCATCATCTGCATCATCACTTGCCCGAGTTTCCAGGGCGCGGAAAACGATTTGATTTTCCGCAGGTAAGTTGGGAAACGCTGATAACTTTGTCTCCGTTACACACTTATCATGAGAGCAAAATGTTTCTGTGGAAATAGTGTATTGTATAAGTGAGAAAAACGACATATTTCTCACGCGCGCAGAAGCGAGTGAGAAATATGTCATTTTCTCACGCATTGTACACTGTACTTTTTCAACGGTTGCGTTGTTTTCAAGTATTGAAAATTAAAATACATACAGGGGTGCGCAAAAGTCCGGAATAAAATGAATATCTTTTTAACCAGTATTTTAGGAAAAAAACGCTGAAACACGTCAGTTGATTTTGGTTGTTGTTGTATGTTATTTCTTTGTAATTTCAGTTTTTTGTTTCATAAAATTGTTATTTTCGATTAATCTTTTTGATTTTTTTCAGCGTTATCAAATCAATTTATATTATATTAGACAATGGAAGTCCAAACTGATAAATGTATGAAGTCAGTTTTCAAGTTGTACAAATTTTACAGGATTTGGACTTTCGGGAAGAAGAAATCGAAAGAGATGTTGAAGAATCTCAGAGAGTCGTAGTCGCTATCAGAAGACTGAAGAAAATATTCAACGTTACTTTCAAGCATAAACCTTCTGGTGAGTTGACAAAATTACTTCTCAATCGCGTATTTTGTTCGGGAGGTTTTTCAAATCTTCATCCAACTAAAAATTTCCTCCTTTCAAACAAAAAATGTGAAATTGAATAATATAATTCAAAATGGACGTCAAAATCAGTGGAGGTGATCAATTCATTAACATCAATATTATTCAAGATGAATTAATATATCATGAAATATCACTAACGTTCACTTTAGTCCTCACGACCAATTTTCCTGCGAGTGGCTTTGATGGATGTCTCTCGAATATTTTTATCATCAACGCTGGTGTTCCCAGGGATCCATATTGTCTTTAAGCTTCTTTTTATTGTATATCAACGGCTTATTGGAAAAAACCAAGAATCCAATGTATTGATTTGCTGACGACAGCATACTAGTCTTGTCATTTCATTTGTATTCCAGGACATCGGCAGCAGATACACATTTTCACCGGCAGCAAGAGGTTGCATATCTTAATGAGGATCTAGAAGTGATACCGAATTGGAGTAAAAGAAACCAGGTTTAATTCAACGCCACAAAAACTCAGGTATCGGTTTTCTCCAAAAAGATAAATATTTCCAAAGCAGATATAATGTCAGAACAGACGATTTCGCTTTCTGCTTCGATAAATTTGTTGGAGGTTGAAATGGACATCAGTATGTCTTGGCACAGTCGTGTCGCAGCAATTGCAAAGGCTGCTTCTTGAAAGTTTGAAACACTGTTCCAAAACAGTTAACTGTACACAGTTCAGCAACTTATCATGCTTTATAAAGCTCAGATCAGACTTTTTTTTATCGTTCTCATGTATGGAGCTCTGCCTATGAGCATACCCTGAAGCTGCTGGATCTCGCCCAGAAAAGAGACTTCCCCCTGATTGGACACGCGAACATCACTTGCAACTTTGATAGTCTGAAACATCGAAGAAAGGTTGGAGATTTGTTTCTCTTCTATAGATACCTTCAGAAGTCTCGAAATGACTTGGCACATTTGATTCCACCAAGAGCGATACATATCAGAAATACGCGAGGGACTGTGGCTGCTCATTTTTTTTTGAGATTCAACTCAGTACAGCTTGAACTCTTGAGCTGAGAACTCTTTCATTTGAATAACTGCGTTTATGTGGAATAAATGTCGTCCACTCCGCACCGCTCTTAGAGCGGTTCAAGAATGTGAAAAAAATCTATTTATATTTTCGAGTTCTCCTTCAAAAAATAGAAAAAAATTCTATCATGGCAATTTCCGATGACGTACATTAAAAGAAACATTTTAATTTCAAAGTTACGTTTCTTGTCTATGGGAGAAAATTTCAACTATGAAAATGAGATGGATGATCAGGGCTCAGGTAAGGTAAGGAAAAAGTTGGATACAGTTGACTGCCTGCTCCATCTCTTGGAGGTGCCAATTTGGTTGGAATCGAGAAGGATGTTGCAGTTCTTGTGTTTGGAAACTGTGCTTGTTTTGGATTTATTCCACGTCATAGATTCCATCGGAGTGAAGAAATGTTACATTGGTCACAGCACTATTACTCAACATTGGTACCAGAAGAATGAAAAATTGAAGTGGATTTAATTCAGATGTAATGGAGTTGTCAAAATCATTTAGTCAAAAATGGGAAAGTAAATAACTGGTATTTTCAAAACAGTCGGAGGAATAAGAAATACAAAAAAATCAGAGAAAGAAGAGCAGGGAAACAGGAATACGAAAAGAAAAGAAGGTGAGGAGAGTGGAAAGAAATAACAGAAGAAAGAACGAATTCTTCATATGGAGAAGGCACGAATGAGAGAAGCAGGTCTGCAAATGTCTGAAAATGGAAATGACAGAAAAAAGTTTGAGATTAGAAAGAATGTTGGAGGCTGAATCGATGTTGTATTAGATACTTTTGGTAGCTAAGGAGAATGATTTGGAATTGAGTTTGGTTAAGTCAACGTTCAGATCAAGAGATGGGAAAAATCGGAAGAACAGATTATAGATGAGTCAAATAAGAAATTGAACAAAAATCGAATGAAATGATTGCAAGAAAGAAGATCTTGGTATGTAGTCAATGGACGTTGATTTGATAGGTAAAGTTGGAACCTCTAGCGTGATATCAGTCTATTGAAAACACCACACCAGAACAAAAATACTGCAACTCAACACAGTACCGTTGTTCTGGTGTGACTAGCATTCCACGACTTCAACTCTACCCAGTTTTGACCGTACGGTTTTGGGATAGTTATAGCAGCACACAGTATAGGACAGCTAAAAATGAGTAATTCAACCTAAAAACTTTGATATTTCATTAGAGAAAACAATTGCATTTGATGTGTTTCGATTACATTGCAATAATCCGTGCATTGACTCTGGTATTTTGTAGAAAACCCCTTTGAGAGAGAATTATCTTTATTTCAGTTACAATCCTCACGAGTTCTTCTTCAATGCATAACTATTCGGATGCAATCCAAGATCTAGCTGGGTGTCATTCGCTGACCGTTACCAACGAATCCATAACAGCACCATACACCACCAGCGTGAAGGATGTTGTAGGAGTTTCTACCATCCATCTCCAAGTTCCTGAGGATGTTCTCAAACACTTGCAAGCTGATCTGCCGAAAATGAACATGAAAAAGGAAAAACTATTGAAAGAGTTGGAGAAACTGAACGAAATAGTTTCGGCAGCATCTTACAAAATTAACGTTGGTGTTGAAAGACAGGAAGGCAACTCGAAGAAGGTAGGAGTAGACTTGAATTTGATTATATTTTTTTCAATGAACTTAGTCCTCTTTTGTAAGTTGGTCATTTATTGTTCAAATCTTCAATTTTACATAATAGTGATTTTGTTTCGTGTTTTCTCCATAATTTAATTTCAATATTTATGAAGTTTGGAGTGATACTTCTTCCACTTGTATATTTGCGTTACCCTGATTCAACAAATTTGTTTTCAGTAGTCGTATAGTTCATTTAAACAGCTTTTTTTCAATTGCTTGTTGAAATTGCTTTTTTAAAATTGGTCAATATATTGTTTTTCAATATCCATTTCATTTATTACTTCTAGAAATATAAGTACTTAAGCCAGATATTACTGCACAAAATGTTGATGTTCTCGGTCTAAAAATACTTTGAGACTTGTGATTTTTTCGAAAAAACTATGTAACACGAGGTACCAATTTATAATCTTCAATTTTCACGGCATATAAGGAATTTCGTTTGTTATATCTCATTCCAAATGACAATTTTTCCAAAGAATATGTGAATGTAAGCAGCGATTCAAAAATAAATTTTATGTTCCAAAAAAGATTACGAAAACTTATGTAGAATGTAGTAAATACCAAGAGTTTTTTTTTGTTGCAGATTTCTACTATTCAGGAAAAGCTTACACGCATAGAATATATTTTGGACCTGATTCAGCGGTAGTAAATTCATTTTTATTGTATAAATATACGTATGAGTGGAAAAAAATGTCCGTTTTATTCATTAGGTACCTCAATTCTTCCTAATCATGAAACACAAGCACTACAGGAAAATCCTTGAAGCGCTCTAAAATCGGTGCCTATGCGAGAGCAGTAATTTACTCAGGAAGTTTGTTCCCCATGGACGTAGTTATCCAAATGGAAGAGTTCTTGAACATTGAAGTGTACTGTGTGAGGTGTGAAAGCATTGAATTCGAATTTATTCTGATTGTGTGTAATGGCCAGGTCTGAGAAATTTATCTGTTTCTCCATCTCTGTTTCGAGTGTGAACTGAATATTGCTATTGAGATTGTTCATGAATGTCATAAATTGGTTCAGCTGTCGTCTAGTACCTCTGAAGCAGGCAAGAATATCGTCTATATATCTCTACCAAAAAAGAATATGTTTTTTACCCAGGTCGGAGTTTACTATCTTGGTCTCCAATTGGTTTTTTACCAATTTTAGTTTCTTTCACGTATAGTCAGTGGGCATACTTGAAGACTGGCTATAAATCAAATCTTTATTTCAAATCTTTATGTTGATGATATACACTACCTTGCACTGACGAGTGGCCAAACAGCCCGAAACCGGTCTGCAAGTGTGTTCCAATAATTGAAAATCTATTGCGGCAGTTGTATCGCCAACAGCATATGCAGGAATAACTTCAGTGAAGAATCCTGCACTGACACCTGTCGGATATAATCCAACGCCCTTCGTGGTATTAGCCAGGTATAAAGCAAATTGACAGGTAGATGTGAATTATGATGAAATATTATCTTAGGTTATGTTTGCAAATGTAGGAAAGTACCGATTTTTTCGAATCACTTGATGATACATAAGAATCTAGAATTATCAACGATGTCAGTTGCCTTGTGAAAAAATCTATTTGTATGTCAACAATGAAATGGATAGATTTATGCTACTATGAGTGAATGTCAATCTATATTAGACTATAGGACTGAAATCGAACTGGTTTAGTGATATTAGGCGCGTTTTATAGGCAGATATATCCGTCCTGTCACATACAGACACAATGAACAATAAAGAAGTTCTTATCCTAAAAAAGAACTTATAGTTTTAAAATCAATATGCACAATGACAAATACTTATGTAAAAACTGCCTGAGGCGACTTCAGCTGCACGGGCTCAAGCGTTTAACAAAACTAATGTATCAAAGTTTTTTGACATTTTGGAAGGCATTCAGAAAGATCACGCCTCATAGGGTGTACACTGTTGATGAGACTGGACTCTTAACAGTCCAGTCCAAGTTGTCCAAGGTCTTTGCTCTAAAAGGTCGGCGACAAGTCGGCTCTTTAACATCTGCTGAACGTGGCGTTCTTTCAACTTTTGTAGTCTGTGTTTCGGCTGGAGGGACATTTATACCACCCTTTGTGATGTTACCAAGGCGAAGAATGAAAGTTGAACTGCAAGATGAAGCACCTTCTGGATCAGCTTTTGCATGTCATCCTACTAGTTGGATGCAAATGGAAATATTCACCTCATGGTTTGACCACTTCTTAAAATTTTCGAAGCCAACAAAAGATGACCCGATTCTTCTGGTACTAGACGGTCATGCAACTCACAAGAACAACTTCATCGAAAATGCCAGAGACAATCATGTCACTGTTTTGTGCATTCTCCCTACTGCAGTCATGAAATGCAGCCACTTTATGTTGCGTTTAATCCAGGACGGACAGTGACTCAATTCCAGGTTTCCCGGCTACTTGGTGAAGCGTTTTTGAAGGCAGCTACAACAGTTATCGCTATAAAAGGCTTTAGAAAATGTGGAATCGTCCCAATCGACAGAAATGTGTTTACAGAACGGTATTATGCAGCTGCTGAAACAACTCTACAAGAAGACCCTGCACCAGGAGAAGAGAACACCATCAAACAAGTTTGTGCATCTTCATCTCAGACTGTCAACAACAGTAGCTCACCACAACTCATTGGTCGTTCTGAAAACCCCAATACCTTCTTCACAATGGTATCCTACCTTCTGTTGATCATCCAATCAGGTCTAGCAGTTTGCTTCCTTCTGCCACATTTGATCCGTCTAATCCCAGCACTTCATCAGCTGGTTCCCTAGAAACGACTTCAAATTTGAACATTCCACCAAACAAGAAGTCCACTTCATTTGCTGTAAGTCCACGTGAAATTGTTCCTGTACCCAAGTTCAATAGGATTATCAAAAGAGAAACTAAGCGGAAGAAAGGAACAGCAACAGTTCTAATATCCAGTCCATATAAGGCCACTCTCATGGCAATTAGGAAAGAAAAAGAAGATGAACAGCAGGCTCCTAAGAAAAGGGTGGCTAAAATTGAAAATAAAGAAGAACGCGCATTGTTTAAGAAAAAGAATGACGATCTCTATAATGATGATGATGAAAGCAACGTCAGCGACGTCGATTGTTTATTCTGTGGTGATTGTTACTGGAAATCCAAGGACAACGAAGGCTGGCTTAGATGTTCTGGGTGCCTCAAATGGGCTCACGAAGCCTGCACAGGAGCCAAAGACGAGGACGATGAGTTTATTCGTGATTTATGTAAATACCAGTGATTTCAAAGTTTCACATACTTTCAGTAATGCCTATTTTTGTTCAAAACCCTAATACAATCATTTTGAGTTCTGAAACTAAATGCGTTTCATTTTTTCCATACTACCTAAATCCATTCAGGCAGTGGCCATTTTGCCCTACCTAGTGGCTTAAAGTGGCCACTTTGACAACTTTTGGTAAAGTCAAAATTTTGTAAAAATAAGTTTGAAAATCAAGTCGTTTTTATTTTTGGATCAGGCCTGAGTAATCATACTAAATGTTGAAGGGATTTATAAAATGTTTCAAAAAAGTTTAGGGGTGGAAAAAATAGATCTTCTTTAGGGTGGCCACTATGCCCACCCCTCCGCTACATCGTGTCAGATTTGAAATTATACAACATTTCAGGATGTTTTCCTAAAGACGTTCAATACGTACAACACAACATGAATTGGGGCAACACGGTCCTGAACTTCGTAATAGTCTGAAATCGATCTGTCAGTTATCAGTTGAACGACTTCAGTCAGATCCTCTCCTGGACAAACATCCCCTTTGAATAAACTTGCATAAATGTATGTTGGTTTAAATTCAATGTCAGTTGTAGATAGGGAAGAAATTATTTTTTGAAAGCCATTTGCTAGATATAACTTTGTAGAAACTTTGAGTGAGATAATATGTTTCGAATTACAACTGGAATTCCGTATCCGTTCTGAATAAATTCCTTCAAGACCGATCTTTCTCCTAGATGAGAGTTTCTGAAGAAACAAACGACCATAGTTTATCACGGAAGGTAGTTTTGTACTAATTAATGAATAACATTCGTTATTTTTATCGCTCTTCTAGTTCGCGTAGCTAAATATGACGGCAGCCATCAATATCGAAACGAAAAGTATCCTTTCGAGACACATTGGTTCTCTTTTCTGAAGAGTGAATAATGGAACGTTCCAGAACTTCAAAAGTTGGAATGGAATTTATACACTATCTTTTAAAGTTAAAATTAAAGTTAAAGCAGCTTAGGAAAATCGAGAACCGTAAGAGATATAAATTCGGTTAAATCAGAAAAAGATTGATCACTTTGAAGCTTGATGAAACAACACTTTGAAATATTCTTTTATTTCAAAATATTACAATTATGTTATTCATACATTGAGACACTTGAGTTCTTCTGGATCAAATTGTGTTCCTTGTGGACAATTGAAATGGATACCTACCCCAACCACACATTCGTAAAATTGAGTTTTATGGGTTGGATCTGGAATTAAGGTTCCATCAGATTTTCCTCCGCAAATATTTGCTGTGGAATAAAATGAAATCAATTAGTGAGGGCTCAAAATTCCAAGTTAATAACAAAGCATCACACAGAAATACTTCATGATAGTTCCAAAAATAAATTACTGAAATTATTAATATGGTTATAGAAAATACTAGGAGAAATGGTGAATGAAAACAACAGTTACATCTGCATTGATCTGGGTATGGTAGATGAAAAAGATTCCTTAAAATACGAATCGGTAGATGATAAGCAATTAAATGCCTTCGAGATTAACGAATCTATGACCCTCAGACTCATTCCTTGGGAAACATCTATTTTTTCATGTACAAACTTTCGATACTGAATATTCTGAGAGGCCTAATGTTTTCTAAAATGTCAAGGAGGTGCTTGAAGACATACTTTCTCTCTGTATCTATAGAGTAGGGAGGGTGAGTGTAGGCCCACAGCACGTAGGCCATATGTGCCCCATTTTACATCATTCCGAGGAGTTGTCCTCCTAGGTCATCGTCCATCCTGTCCTTTCCAGGAAGGTAGACAGGTCACTGGGAGACATCTCCTTTATATCGGTAGGTGTAGGCCAAAACTCACCAAACAAACACTTTGTTGACGATAACTCCGGACACTCGCATAGGACATGCGTGACAGTTTCATCTTCCTGTTCACACATCCTGCATAGAGGTGTGTCCACTAGCCCCATAGTAAGGAGGTGTTTCCTCAGTTGACAGTGGCCAGTTACAAATCCCACTGTTGAGCGTAGATTTTTCCTGGTCATCGCCTGATATTCCTTCGACGCCAGGGTCGCCCAGGGTGATCCTGGCAAGACTGCATCCTTTGATTTCATCCCATCTCTTTAAGAATTGAGCATGGGTTTGACGTTTGGCTAGTTCTGCAATTGTCGAATTCATCAGGCAGTAGGTGTCACTGGGTCCTAAAATTCTTAGTCCAGCCGCTTCCTTGGCTAAAGAGTCGGCAATTCAATTACCTATACTTATGTCGTGTCCTTTAACCCACCTCAGGATAATGTTATTATCCACTGATACGATTCCCTAATGAAGGTTCTACTGTGTTTGTTGCCAGGTACTTTTGTCCAGTACTCTGTGTGCTTCTTATTGGTCCAGTCTTAATCTGGTTTCGTACCAATGATTTTGGTACCCCCAGAGCTGGTTCAGGACCTATATATGAAGTTGATGATTCGCATCTGGCGCATTCATCAGCTTTATCATTACCTGTGATTCCTGAATGCCCTGGCACCCAGTACAAAGTTAATTTGTTCCGCAAGTTCATTCAGTTCTTCATGGTATTCCCAGACCAGTTTTGATGTCACCTTCGGGTTTGTCAGAGCTTCTAGTGCGCTCTTGCTGTCTGTAAAAATAATGATCCGCTCATTCCTTTGAGGTCTCAATTTAATAACCCTTGCACACTGCGAGATAGCATACACTTCCGCCTGAAAGACGGATGTGTCTAGTCCTAGCGGATAGCTGTAGTATAGATATCTATCCGCTTTGTATATTCCAGCTCCCCTTCCATGTTTGGTCTTCGATACATCTGTATACCAGGTGTTTTTTCCAAACATGTTTTCGGGATGACTAATGGTCCTCCACTCTTCACGGCTTATGATTTTGGCCGTGAAATTTGTGTTGAAGGTATACTTCGGTGCCAAGTGGTCCGTGCACATATTCAATATGTGCTTCTCCACTTGTTCCGAAATGTCTGTTCGGTCCGGTCTTTTGTAGTTCGGTGAGTTTTCCAGTCTGAATTGACCCATCCTGGCCTCCCCCTGGAATACACTTACTCCATGAATCATTTGTTTTTTGGATCGGTGTGATATAACAAAAGATCTTGGTATTAACTTCACTCCAAATTAGCTTCTCATCACACATTACCAAAACTGCATCAGCAGCGAAAAAAATGCTTGGCATGATTTTCAGAAACTGCAAAGATTTAAAAAATGAAGATAGTCTCATTGCTCTCTTTACCTTATATGTGAGAACACGTTAAGAATATGACTCGCTGATTTGGTCTCCTATTTACCTAAATCATATTGAATGAATTTATCCAGAACAAGGTTTCGATAATAACTTATTATTAAACAGATTTTAGCTGTTGTCTTTGGAAAATCGGAGAGCTTACCACTCTTGAATATTTATCTATAAACTCACAAACTATCTGACCGATTGTCCAGAGTTATTATCTCAACTAAACTTCAACACATCTCTTTTGAACAGTAGAAGTTCACCTTGTTTTTATTTACCTACTCCAAGAACGAACATACTAGCCTTAAAGTAACACGTTGTCTGTTCGAGGCTAATAGGACTTGTCTACTATCAGTGCAGATTGTTATGTATCTGTCAGAAATTTCTTTCCTGGTTATTTCTTTNTTTTCACTTGACATTTTACAAAATCGCAACCCAGCCAGTTCAGTTTGAACCACGCTGGTATTTTTTCCATTCCCCACTTAATCCTTAGGCTTAGTGATCTGGAGAACACATCCTGAGCTTTGAAGACATACTTCATTACTATTTGAAGCACAATGGACAACATTCTGCTCAGTCTTCTCTTCAACTGTAAGATAGTGGGAGAGTAGAAATTGAGTAGATACTTTGTATTTTTTCAACGCAATTTTTGTGAAAGTGGAAAATCAGCCAATAAAAAAACGTCTTTCTTTCTGATGTTCAACAGTAGGACGGTAACTAGAATCTGATAACTAATTGTACGTAAATGAGACTATCTTCACAAGTTTTTTAAATCATAGATTATTTTCATATTTAATCAATACTTACCAGCTGGTGTCGTTAGTGGGCTCAGAGAGTTTGGAGCTGAAAAAAGTATTGAATGAGTCGTAATCTATTATTTTTTCAACAATATGAATGCGCATAAGTCAATAGTTTATGCATCAGATATGAATTTAGAAACTGGCTGAATAGAAACCAAATGAAGTGGCCACTGCTCCGAAGAAACATGAACAATTATTTTTATTTTGCAAACTCAATAATAGTGAGAACCCTTAGTTATGCTTTTGGATCACTTTCAGTGAATTTGTCAACACCTCAGAGATTTTTTCAGTATTTTTCAGCTCCGATGTCTGTCAATTTGAATTTTCCGGCATGCAGAGCATTAGACAGAACCATTTTAAATTTGAGGTTAGAATTTTTGATTACTGTTCCCACAAATCATTAGTTGTAAAGTATTTGTGTAATATAAAAAATCGAAACCGTCGAAATTTTCCAATAAACGATATGTGAACAATGTAAACGGTCACAGCCTGAAAATAAAAAAATTGTCAACGACCCACGTTTGTTCAGCTATCTCTCTTCCTTGTACCAAGTGCAAGATATCATCTTGACAATATCTTTCACTTTCAACAGAATATGATGTTATATTAAAGAACGTGTTTTATCGCTTATTTTGATGATGACGCAAGTGCACTCTTCAATCACCCCGGTTGTATTATGTGGGAACAGACATGCAACAGATCGTGTCATAAATCCGAGGCGTATCATTTTTGTTGCTGCAGCCTACATATATATGCAATATTCAGTTGACCAAAAATAAAAATATGAACATAAAAGCGAAATGAAGTATATTGCAAGAACGTACAATTTGGGACTACTCATAGACAATATAGGGTGGCGCTACATAATTTTGATCTTTGTGACGTAAATTCAAAATTGACTTTCTGAAAAAACTCATAATCAGACATAGGAGTCTCACTACACCCTTCTGTATATTCTTGAGTCGAAACTTAGGTTTGCTTGTACTCGCTTCATTTTATAAACTGTCTCTCGTTTCTGATTTCTCTGTTTTTGATTTTTTTCATCTGAGCGCTTATTGCAAATATTATTTGTTTTCATCATTTTCCGAGCTCATTTCTCAGTATATTTCTATACTGTCAAATCTACAAGTGCATCAATATGAACAAAAACTTTAAATTTCGACTTACCTTCAGTTGTACCGCTTCGACCTGAAATAATTACAATGATCATTTATTCAGAAGTCACAAAATGTACCATCTAGAAAGGAGTATTTGATTGTTTTCAAAGTTTTGTCCATTTCAATGTCATGTGTTTCTGTAGCTCCATATCTCAATAAATATTCATTCTACTGTATTGTACTGATCGATACTGAATTATGTACTCTATACATTGGTGCTGTTAATTTTTTTCCAAATGTTAATTTTTTGCCCCTTTTCAGCTCATTACTTCATGATGTCGTTAAGCCATTTTCAGCCAATTTTCCTCCACGAATTCGCATTGAACCAAAGCGCTATCGAAATAGCCCCAAAAACCAATAGACCGGGAGTCCGTGACAGAAATTTTGACCCCATTTTTTACCGTCTGCCTTTTGCAGAGAACATATTTACAGCCACAAGCAACAGTATTGTCTACCACTCTGGTCCAAACACGGTCTATTCGTCTGCCAATTGACAGTTTGTCTATTCAATAAATTATTTATTGCAAGGAAACAATGGCAGACGGTAAAACCTTGGTCAAAGTCATTATTTTTTTTTACCAATTAAAAAATATTTTTCAGTTGTATAAACACGGTCAATTCGTCTGCTAATTGACAATTTGTCTACTTAAAAAACATATATATTGCAAGAAAACAATGGCAGACGTTAAAATGTTGGTGAAAGTTGTTAATTTTTTTGCAAATTCATTCGCGTCTGCCTATACTTTGAACATTGCCAATTTGTCTACCAATAGTTGTCGCATGACAACTATTGGTAATTATGGAACTTTATTACATTCGAAAGGCAGACGGAAAAAATGGTTCAGAGACACTGTAAAAAATTGTTGATTAACTAATGCCTATGAATAAATAATACACCGGCAAACCGTCTGCTTTGTGAACATTCGTTCATTTCATGCTACTGTTAGTATATGCTGTGCTTGCATCTCAAGCGTATAATTTTTATGATGACGGGATAAAAATTGCGCTTATTCAGATTAATAAGAATACGTTTTTAGTGAGATATTACATTTCCAAGTAGACTCATAAAAATGGACAGAACTTTTGAATCAACCTTCCATGCAGTGCCTTCGTTGCATATTTGATTGATCTTTCTTGAGTTTTTGAGAACCAGAATGCCAAGATATTTAAACAGATCTTTACTTCGATTACTCAGAAGTGTAGTTATGATATATATAATATTAGTGAAAATTGTTTGTTATAGGTTCGAATTTCTCTTTATAGGTTTCAGCAGATTTTGAAACTATGGAATAGAGAATTGAACTTCGATTACTCAGAAGTCTAGTTATGATATATTTAATATTAGTGAAAATTGGAATAGGCATTAGTAAGTTGAAAAAAAGAATATCGAAAATGAAAAAAAATTAACTTACAATGTGTTTGAATTTCAAAACTATAGAATAAGAATAATAAGAATAACAAAAATAGGTTTTTTATCGACCTTTTTAGAACCTTCCACAGTCTGATTTCTCCACCAAAAAAGACTTTAGTTCAATAAAATTATATTGTTTCTACTCACTACAATCAACGTTTTCGAAATCATCACAGTAGTTCATCAGGTGGTTCCAGTACGTATCGTTAGGACATGTTTGCCAAAACATGTATCCTAGGTAACATTCATAGAAACTCTTGCAATCATTCGGGTCGACACTGTAAACTATTTTGTCTGGGTCATAAGGACATCGAGGAGTCGGAGTTGTATCTGTGGAAAAAACGGCAGGATGTCAAGTTGTGAAAAGGAAAATGGAAGTTTTGTTGTCCAATATCACGTTCGCTTATTTTGACGTTACCAAATCGAAATTCACAATCATGAATTTGTGTCAATAAAATACAAATTAAATTGATTCATTTCTATTGGTATTTAGCAATGTTACAAAATTTGCAGGAACAACATGTACTAACATATAACATTGTGGGATTTTCACTTGACATTTTACAAAATCGCAACACCTGTTTCGCTATACAATAGCTTTCTCAAATGTTTTCATACTCATGAAAACGCTTCCGTCACATATCATCCAAATACTCTATATTTGGAAAAAATCATACTTACCTGTGGGCAGTGAAGTTGTGCCTGAAACAAAACAATATGATAAATATATAGTAATTGATGATCAGCATTCGAAAAAAATCTGATTTGTTACAAATTCCAACCAAGACAGTAGCCTGTTGGATACGGTTTGCTCCATTCATTCAGTCGACCTTCAAGTGAAACGGTGGTTCAAGCCGAGAGGCCGGACGATCGATTTTCACCGGCTACTGCCCAATTCGTGCTAGGAATCGCACGTTAAAAGTAAGCCTTTGTTGAAAGTAAGATGAGCAGAAAATTTAATGAGCGTACCTCAATTATGATTATATCAATTCTACATCAATAATATCACTTTATCGGTTTCGAAGAAAACAAGTTAAATAATGGTGATCTATTTAAATCCAGTTTGTCATTCAGTAAAATTTTTGATTTTTTGAATTCATCAATTTCCGTTGCTTCTAAATGATTGAGCTCCAAAGTTTCATTTTGTATGTGTGAAATTTCGAAATCTCTGTTGAATATTTGATTTTTTTCTTAAAGATGACTTGAGTAGATCACCAACACCGATTCTGTGACTCCAGCCAATGAGAGCGCGATATAGTTTGGTGTTGTGCAGTTACGCTTTTAAGGTCACGCGTACGGTTGAGAATCGAGCAGCATTATCGTGGTTTGAAAGATAACGATTCTAGCGAAACTGATATATAGTACTCCGAACCAAGTCATTCTGCGCAAAGCGTAACTGCGCAACACCAAATTATACCGCACTGGTGTCACAGAAGCGGTGTTGGTGATCTACTAACTTGAATGTGTTGAACTTGTTTTCTCATATTAGCTCGTATAATGTTCCTAGATGCGATTCCTGAATGTTCTGCCAGTTTCTCTAACGCCCTTACTGGTGGGGTCATTCCGTTTGGAACGGAGGTGAAATATATTGGCATTGTCCTTGATAAGAAACTCACCTGGAACGCTCACTTGGAAAAAGTTTTACACAAAGTCAGACGGACCTTATGGACATGTCGAAGGATTTGTAGTAAAACTTGGGGTTTAAGTCCCAAACAAATCCTTTGGATTCATGTGATGATTGTCAGCCCAATAATCTCTCATGATGCAATGGTTTGGTGGCCGAAGGCTTCACAAAAAACGGCCTGGCTTACAGAGGCAGGCTTGTCTGGCCATCAGTGGTGCCATCAGTACCACACCTTCAGCGGCCATGGAGATCCATGCTAGATCTACCTCCTCTCCACCATTTTCTGAAGAAAGAGGCTAGATGGACTGCATATAGACTTACGCACATTGCCAGTGCAAGGTGCAACAGACTGTTGGTTCACACTGGATGTCGCAGCATTCTGGAAATGACCTCTGACTTTATACCTCCAACTGTCAACTACGAACTGCCTCATAAAGTGCTGTTCACGGGTATAGAGGACTGGATCCTTCGGGAGAAGGAAATATTAAGAGCAGATAGTTTTTGGTTCACAGATGAATCAAAAACACCTTCCGGTTCTGGTGGCTGTGTTTTCAATCGCAGACCCAGAACAGAAATATCAACCTGCCTAGGAACTTATGCGACAGTATTTCAAACTCAAATTTACGTTATCAAATTGTGTGCGAAGAGATTGGCAGAATCCAACCTAATACACAATCCATTAAAAATATTCTCGGACAGTTAAGCGGCGTTGGAAGCTCTTGGCTCCTACCGAGCAACGTCTACATTGGTAGCAAATTGCCAAAAACGACTCTCCTTGATAGGAAGACTTAACAGATTGTCTCTGGTCTGGATTCCTGGCTATACTGGCCTGGAAGGCAATGAGGCTGCTGACTCCTTTGCGGAGGAGGGTGCTGCAAGCAGCTTCATCGGACGAGAACCTGTAACTGACATCGCTTCAGGCTTTGCTAAACAAAGATTGAACACCTGGATGGCAAGAAGATTTATGGACTTTTGACAGAATCTTCCAGGATTGGCTCACTCCGTATCGTTTATTCACCCTTCGAAGCTTGACACCAAACAGTTGTTGGACTACAGTAGGGATGAATTACGATGTCTATCAGGCCTTCTTACAGGTCACTGTCATTTGAATCATCATATGGAGAGACTCGGACTGTCGGAAGACAATGTGTGTCGCCTGCGTTTGGAAAATAATGAAGCACCAGAGCACATACTTTGTGCCTGCTCCGCTGGGGACCAAATCAGGTTTTTAGAGTTCGTCAGAGCCGTACTCTTACCATCTGACCTGAAAGACCACTGACTATACAAACTGATCGGCTCCGTTAAGAAGCTGGGTTTATTTGGTCGAGTGTGAATAGGTGTGAGCCACAATAAACCCTTGAGGGTTACGGTGGTTACGAATAGACCCACTCACTTCAGACCTTACCTAATCTAACCTACTTTAGCAAAAGTGCACTGATTCAAATTGCACATTTTGATCGAATTGATTAAGTATTCAATGAGATAATTTAGTTTGGAGTAGACTCATAAAAAAAAGAAAAGACTTTGGAAACAACCAATGGTGTATGAAAGTGACTAGTTCAAACAATAGTATAAAACGATATTAGGTTTCGTAATGAGAAGCCAGGAACAACTTCTCCATGTCTTCAAAAATCCAAAAAATAAGAATCAAGAAACACACGAAATTTACTAGAACTATAAAAAACGGATAATTGTAAGATTTCACTGAAGAGTTTACAAAACCGTAATAATTTGTTGTCTGAATTCAGTAAAATTGTCATTTTCGACTCAATTTTGAAAGATTACTATTGGTTCTGAGTTTTTGGGGCGTGGAACAACAATTGAAAATTTGTATTGTCATGAAGTTGAGTGAAGCAGCAACTCCAATTCATTCTGGAAGTCATTTACGAGTATAATAATGAAATGATGGAATATTTTCAAATTTTCCTAACTAAAGTTAATTTTATCGTATACGCACTGTGTGAATTGCAGTCGACATTCTCTAGGTAATCGCATTTCGTGAGAATATCGTTCCAATAAAGGTCCTCCGGGCAAGTCATGTGATTTCTGATTCCATTAGAACATTCGTAGTACTGAGAACAGTTGTAAGGGTCGGCAAAATAAGTAGCCCTCTCATCCAATTCGGGACACGTGGGGTAATCTGCATAAATTTCGACGAAACCTGTTGAGGAAAGGACGTATAACTCTGTTTTCTCAAATTCACATTTGTAAGCCTATGATTTGATTCCTTCCTTTGTGTAAAATAAAAAAAAAATCTTATACTGAGAGTTGGGAAATCCGGTTCCACCAAATATACATGTTGCGAAAACAATTGCAATGGATTTTCACATTGTTCAATTTTAATTCATGAATAGAATAGAATAGAATAGAATAGAATGGAATGGAATGGAATGGAATGAATGGAATGGAATGGAATGGAATGGAATGGAATGGAATGGAATGGAATGGAATGGAATGGAATGGAATGGAATGGAATGGAATGGAATGGAATAGAATAGAATGGAATGGAGTAGAATAGAATAAGATCGAATAGAATGGAATCGAATCGAATCGAATCGAATCGAATCGAATCGAATCGAATCGAATGGAATAGAATGGAATAGAATAGAATAGAATAGAATAGAATAGAATAGAATTCATTCTTGTTTGAAATATACAAAAATACAACAAATCAATAAAAATATCCTGTCCAGTGCCGATAATCTAAATTTATACTCACCACAGATCAACACTTTCAATAAAGTAATAATGTCTCCGATTGTTTTCACATGGCGAACTCAGTTTACAAAACCACAGACAAAACACCGAAACCTTTTGATCTTTTCGCCTGCCGACGGGACATTTCATTGTTGACAAAAACAGTACTCTGTAACACAAAGTTTTCAAAATGTTTAAAATTTGGAAACTCAAGCTTTTGTGTTTCGTCAAAATCGACACAGTTGTTGTTTTGTTGTGGTTCTGTCAGTTTCATAGAAATCCGCCATGAGATTCAGATAGATTACTGGTAAGTGAATAGGTAAATTCGAATTTTTTTGAATTCCTATGCAAGTTGCTGAAAAATTTCACAGTGCCATTATATTATTTTTCGTTAGTTATGAGTGAAACACTCAATAATCAAACATGTGAAACTCTAAAATTATTAAATACACTTTGTTTTTTAAATAGTTACCTACTACAAATCCAAAAATTGTATTATCTTCGTAAAAAATATCAACTATTTGAAACTCTAAAATTATTAAATACACTTTGTTTTTAAAATAGTTACCTACTCCAAATCCAAAAATTGTATTATCTTCGTAAAAAATATCAACTATTTGTTTTTTCATGATAATCTTTCACTCACCCCAAAATAATAGAAGTGCTGTAGCAAAATCTAAAAACGAAACTGTGTTTAGTATTTTTAAGTTTTCTAGTGAATCACTATTTTCGTTCTACTCACGCTTCATCTTGTTGATTTTTCGGATAGACACCACAATAATATGAGTTCTATTTTTTTGTTTTCCTTTTATATCAGATCTGGTATGAAAGGTCTTCAACCAACACTTGAGTGAAACTCAAAAGTCGGCGTTTTCAAAGAATTTTTCAAAACAATCTTATAGGGAACAAGTGATAATACAATAGATTAAAAAATTAATCTTGAAAATGTTTTTATCAGAAAAGTGATTGATAAAATACAGTGATTTGAGTATCGGCGAAACATTAAAGAAAAATAGTAATTAGTCAACTATTTCATCGATTTAAATATGGATATGGCATCCCTACTGTAGTCCAACAACTGTTGAATAAAACGATACGGAGTGAGCCAATCCTGGAAGATTCTGTCAGAAGTCCATGAATCTTCTTGCCATCCAGGTGTTCAGTCTTTGTTTGGCAAAGCAATGTCAGTTCCAGGTTCTCGTCCGATGAAGCTGCTTGCAGCACCCTCCTCCGCAAAGGAGTTAGCAGCCTCATTGCCTTCCAGGCCAGTATAGCCAGGAATCCAGACCAGAGACAATCTGTTAAGTCTTCCTATCGAGGAGAGTCGTTTTTGGCAATTTGCTACCAATTTAGACGTTGCTCGGCAGGAACCCAAAGCTTCCAACGCTGATTGAGTGTCCGAAAATATTTTTATTGACTTGTGTCTCTCTCTCCGCCCACAATTTAATAGCGTAGATTTCTGCTTGAAATACAGTGTAGCATAGGTTCCCAGGCTGCACCAGATCCGGAAGGTGTTTTTGATCCATCTGTGAACCAACAACTATCTGCTCTTGATATTTTCTCCTCCCGGAGGATCCAGTCCTCTCTACTCGGGAACAGTACTTCATAAGGCAGTTCGTAGTTTACAGTTGGAGGCATAAAGTCAGAGGTCATGGATTTGCAGTCCATCTAGCCTCTCTCTCTCTCTCTCTCTCTCTCTCTCTCCAGAAAAATGTCTAGAGATGGTAGATCTAGAAGGATTTCCATGGCCGCAGACGGTGTGATACTGATGGCACCACTAATGGCCAGACAAGCCTGTCTTGTTAAGCCAGAGAACTTACAGCAAGAGGTTCTCTGAAAGTTCATGGATATTGAAAAGCAAAGTCCGTGTAGTGTTACGTGTTGGCACTTCGAATGTAACTATTGAACGAATGAAGAAATACATTCGATTGTCACCGGAATAGAGCAATCATGGTCTGTTATTCCATTCACCCACTTTCAAAAATTATATTAGAATGATCGTAGCACGAGTCGAGTCTACAGAAAAGCAAGTTATTGAAAAGTAGCAGTTTTTTATTTCTGTTCTAACTTTCCCTGATGATAGCGATTTCATTTCCACTGTACGTTGAAAAAAAAAATCTTCTCAATTCTTGTGACATATTTATTCATTGAACATCCATTCTATTAAACTACTATCAATCCTAAGAGGTTTGTTTCATAACGCACTCAGTCACCACCAACACAACTCTGTTTGTCTTGGTTCCATCGTGTTCCCTCTGAACAAGAGTAGAGGGTAGGTTCTCCGTCCACACATTGGTAAAACTTGGTCGGATCGGTTGGATGTGAAATGAATGATCTGTTGGGTATTCCATCACAACTTATTTCTGTAAGAAAAAAACCAGTTACTCACAGATTAACATTGTGAAGTATGAAAAAATCACGATAAATGAGTAATGTAAACAAGAGCGATGACATCATTACGAAACCGTCATCTATGGAAGCGACAAAGAAATCAATCCTCGAATATCAAAGACTGCGTTCCGTGTCAAACCCATAAGAGGTATGTCATCGTTAACTCAGGCTTGTTCTTTATAGAAAGATGAGCCCAGAAATGCATTTATGGTTCAACATAACAGCGCACTTTAATACAAAAACCTCTTCGATTCATTAACAAATATGACTGTCTTTTGGATGTCATGTATATCAATTCTTGACTAGCCCAGAAACCTATCCTCCTGCTAAACACATGGATGATTCATTTTGAGTGCGATCTCGATATTGAAGAAAGCTGCTAAATTTTGTTCTATGCTATTTCACATGCTGTGATCATATTAAATTTGCAAGTCAGAATCGAGAAGACTTTGACTCGCAAATTTAAGTATTAAGGAAAAAAAATATTTCGAAATACAATTCTAAACATTTCGCATCTCTTTCAAACTTCTCACATTGTAGGACCTACAACCACTCTCACGACTGATAACACGGTGGATATCGAATGTTATGCAACAGATATCTGTGCAAGTTACCTCGTGTTTCTTGTTCGTACAGCGAATAGATGAGTTTTTTCCTAACACCAAACCGTTATTTTAACACCTCGACACGTGTTTCGATTACCAAGTGATTATCTTCAAGAGAAAGATCAAACTGTTTTATTTTTCTTTTGAAGATGAATATTTGGTGATCGAAACATGTGTCAAGGTGTTAAAATAACGGTTTGGTTATTGAAACACGTTTCGAGTCGTTAAAAACAACGGTTTGGTATTGAGATAAAACTGCAATAATATTCATTGCTACACCAAAGGTTCCAAACAGTGCATCACAAGATCTACATACTGGTTTCGACGCATTAATTATCGTCATTGCAGAAAAGATCCAATTCAAACAGGAGTATACCTGGATGCTTATGATTTATTTTATCGTAGATCTATGATACCTACATCTGAGAGAAATATATGAAAAACAAGTACTTAACAGCTCCATCTCGTGGAAAAAGCCACAAAGTGGGAAAAGCACTGCAATCATTAAAAATTGGGAGTACAGCAAAATATTTATTTTCTGAATCATTATTTCACTCCATGATACCTACATCTGAGAGAAATATATGGAAAACTAGTACTCAACAGTTCCATCTCGTGGAAAAAGCCACAAAGTAGGAAAAGCACTGCAATCATTAAAAATTGGGAGTACAGCAAAATATTTATTTTCTGAATCATTATTTCACTCCACCTTTGATATCGATCAAAATCTCTTAATATGTCAAGTAGTTCGTGTTAATATTGTGTATATATTGTAATAATGTTTCGACAGGTGCTTCTGTGAATATGCTTAGAATGTTCTAACACTATTATTATTATACAGGGTGTAACTAATTGAGTGTAAAACATTCAAGAAGGTGATTACTCATCGAAAAAAAGATGGGATCTTTCATATAAAGAAATTTCATTGTATCATACCTTGTTAAGATATCATTTACAGCATTTGGTTTATCGTACTCCTGTTCGCGATGTAGAGGACTCAAGAAACCGCGTCATCGATGCGGGTAATGCAGGGTAATCAGAGAGACTCCAGGAATATTTGAGCGAGTACGTGGCTCAATGCGCCGACGTCTAGACGCATGCGTAATGTCTGAAGGTAGACATATTGAACATTTACTATGATTATTTCTACATGTTGTGTGTTTTGTTATTAATAAATTAGTTTTGTTCATAACCCTTTAATCGTTTAATGCAGGTACTAACTACAAAATAACAATTAAATCCAGTTCGCATTTATGACGATGTATCTCTGTAGTTATTGGTAAAATAATTTTTTGCTGCGAACTGGTTTATTCTGGGCAAATAACCCAAGAGACATTTTTTGTTTATAATGAAACAGGCTATCGGAAATACATTTTTAAATGGTAAACAAATAATACGACAAAAAGTTACTTCGGGAATAAATTTTAGGGTTTGCGTTTTCCACCCCTTACAACCATGGGATAAACCAAATGAATTAGTTAAGTGTCTTTCTGGTAGTAAAAAACGTCAGGTTAATTTCAATATGATAACTTTTTCAGTGCTTGTGAAAAAAATTGTTATACAAATTTTATGTACCCCCTTTAAGGGGCTGTATCTTAACAAGGGATGCTCCAATGAAGTTTCTTTGTATGAAAAGTCCTATCTTTTTTTTGATGAGGAATCACCTCCTTAAATGCTTTACACTTATTCAGTTACACCCTGTATCGAAACGAAAGTGTTTCTCGGGTTTCTCAGACAGTAATATGTGAAATATTTGTGACGAAGAATAACTTCTGTCTTGGCTAGTAAAGCATCAAGTAGATCTTCATATTTCTCGAAGTACTTTTGATAGATTTCTACTGTTCCCTCTGATTCATTGAACATTTTCCATTTCATTTACTGAAGATGTGGTTTTTCTGAATATCTGATGATATTAATAACTCCAGAGCGATGGTACTAGATGAGTTGTTTTTTGTTAAAAACTATATCAACGCTATGAGGTTTATTGCAAGAATTGTTCGGTAAACTCAATTGCCTACTCACTAGGAGGCTCAGTAGGTGCAGTTGGGGCAGTTGGTGCAGTTGGTGCAGTTGGTGCGGTTGGTGCGGTTGGTGCGGTTGGTTCTGGAAAAAATAATCAATCATGTAGTTCGTATCCAACGAATGAAAATCAGTGCAGAAAAATATCAGGCAATGATGCTCATACAGGCTAGTCTAGTTAGTAATAAGAACAGTTCGTGTATACCTAAGGCCAAAAAACTCCGAAACTAAAATAGCCCAAAATTAAATCTCTGGCAAGGAGTTTACTCAAAGACATCACGTCTTGCATACTCCACCACGCAAAAAACTGACAGATTAGTGAGAATACCAATAGATTCAATAGTAACTTTCATATCGATTTCTGCAACTCAGTGAACTCCACCCAAACATGTCTTGAGGAGGTTGAGAAGAGCTGCAGGAAAATCCTTGGAATGTTGAATTCCAAACGAAGCAAAAAATAATCCTAAGGAAAATCTCTCAGATTCCATAAGGACGCCATAAGGAGAAAGAGTTCTCAACAATTTTGAACCCATGCAGCTGTATTTTTCTGCGTACTTCTGGCATTCATCACTCTAGATGAATTCATGGAGGCAGTCGGTCGAAGACTTACTGTGAAAGTGTCTTTGGGAAAGAGATACGTCTCCAAACTTTTTTCGACGTTCCAGGTTTTCTTAATGATGAATCGTGTAGCCCCAAGCCAAAACTTCTGCATATTTCCTTTTGATAGCTGATGTTCGCACATCCAAACAATGAAACAGGTATGTTGTCATCAGCAAAAAAACCATCGGATTTGTTTTGTTTTTCAACGGATCGTTGAGGTATGATCAAAAAAAGGGTGTCGATAGCCTCTTGTGAGAAAAACTATCCGGGAAAGCTGAAAAGCTACGTACAATGACGATTTGACAAGCCGTAACATCAAAGTTCGCTTCATGCCAGACACGGAGGCCTTGAAAATAGTAAACAGTTCGAAGCTCTCCGTGTTTATCTATTGCATTCTTCCAAAGTTGGGTGATACATTAAGGAAGACCACCTGTTGATCTTGAGTACACAAATGTTGAAGCATTCCAAATATTTGATGATGTGTTGATGAACAGAGCTTCCTCCGTGATTTCCGATATCACTGATTGTAGAGCAACCAGTCTATGATTGACAAAATGTTTGGGGCTTTCGCGGTCGATGTTTATATATCCTGGACGTACAAACCTCTGAAGAAGCAAGCCACTTGCTCCAGCGAAACGTCAGGAAGAAATTCCAAAATCCAGGACCATCAAACACAAAAATAGTGACACAGTCTATGACTACTTGGAAGATGTTCCGGAGGACTGAATCCTCCGGGAGAAGGAAATATCAAGAACAGATAGTTGTTGGTTCACAGATGGATCAAAAATACCTTCCGGTTCTGGTGCAGGTGTTTTCAGTCGCAGACCTAAGACAGAGATATCAACCTGCTTAGGAACCTATGCGACTGTATTTCAAGTGAAAATTGACGGTGTTGAATTGTGTGCGGAGAGAATGGAGGAATCCAACCCAATACACAAGTCGATGAAAATATTCTCGTACAGTAAAGCGGCGTTGGAAGCTCTTGGCTCCTACCAAGTTACGTCTAAATTCGTAGCAAATTTCCAAAAACGACTCTCCTCGATAGAAAGACTCAACAGACTGTATCTGGTCTGGATTCCTGGCCATACTGGCCTGGAAGGCAATGAGGCTGCTGGCTCCTTTGCAAAGGAGGGTGCTGCAAAGGAGAGTGCTGTAAGCAGCTTCATCGGACCAGAACCTGTCAGTGGAAACGCTTTAGGCTTTGCCAAACAAAGGTTGAACAGCTGGATGGCAAGAAGATTTATGGACTACTGGCAGAATCTTCCAGAATTGGCTCAGCTCCAAGGCGTTCATTCACCCTTCGAAGCTTGATACCAAACAGTTGTTGGACTACAGTGCGGATGAACTCCGATGTCTAACAGGCCTTCTTACAGGTCACTGTGATTTGAATCATCATATGCAGACTCAGACCGTCGGAAGATAGTGTGCGTCGCCTCTGTTCGGAAAATGATAAACAGCAGAGCACATACTTTGTGCCCGCCCCGCTGGGGACCCAGTCAGGTTTTTATAGTTCAGAAGAGCTGTACTCCTACCATTTGACGTGAAAGAACACTCACCATACGAACAAATCGGCTTCGTTAAGAAGCTGGGTTTATTTGGTCGAGTGTGAATAGGTGTGAGCCACAATAAACCCTTGCGGGTTACAGTGGAGGGTCGACCGGACCAACTCACTTTGGACCTAACCTGACCTAACCTCCTCTCAGTTTCATGTTGAATTAAGTTCAACGATTATTTGCTGAATTTGAAGTCTAGATTGAAACCATTCAATGTTTGTCATTGCAAATGAAAAGATAAAGATTTCACAACGCAATTCATAGTTCTCCAAAAGACGTGAGTGAGCACTCTTGTCTTCATTGAAACGTGCAAATGGAATATTCTGTTCGCTACAAATCGTTTCTATTCGAGTCTGTATGTATGGCTCACCTTGGATCAATTCTATACTAGCTGATTATTTCATAGAGAAGTTTTTCAATACTCTTTATGAACTATTCGAAACGGTTCTCTTCGTAGATGCATGAAATATTATTAAATGAAGAAATATGAAAGAACAACGATCAGTTGTGGGAAGTTCTTGCAATGTATTGGTTCACTGAGATAGTTCAAATTGTCATCTTCTGAGGTTGAGGCTGGGTTGAAGTTATAACTGACAGTTCTAGAGTATGTTGAAGAGTTTTTTAATAAAGGGGTGAGCTCATAGGTGAACCACTCTTTTTTGAACCACCTCAGAAACACTGACTTTTCTCATGATTTTTATTCCTTCATCTTCACTTTCAATAATGTCTAAAACAAGGTTACTCATTAGAAAAATACCAATTAATGGTATAGAATATACTCGTATGTGCAGCGGTTCCTCAATATTATTTCCTTTTCGAATGTGTGCATATCACCTGTTTGAATTGTCGTGAAAACTCTGCATATTATTCATGAAGAATCGCGTTTGTTCATTATAAGGAATGTAGTAGTGTTTAGTGAATCTCAATTTTCAACTTACCTGTCGATATTCCTCGTGCTGAAACAAATACGATACAATTAACTCTGTGAAAAATCATCTCATCGAAAGTATGAATTTGCGACATGAAAAACTGATTTGTAAAAATGTGCTCACATTCCTATTACAGACACTGATTTCTTTTGTATCATCATTTCGTCTATATCATGAAAACTATATAATTATCAACCACAAGTGTATTATATCTCAGGGAAACTACTTTTGAATGGACAAAATAGAAAATGATGAATGTATAATTATTTTTGAGAAAAATGAAAACTCACCCTATTTTTTTTAACAGTCAGCGTTTAGGACAATCAAATACTCAGTTGAATAGTAGTCTTTGTTGTTCATTCACTTTTCGTTGATTCAAACGTTAATATAGTCAATAGAACTCTATCAAAAATCAATGAATTATTTTCGAAAATCAAAAATGAAACTCATATAATTTATTCAATTTTATACTAGGACTATAATGATGAATATATTGGCCAAACTTCCAGATTGCTCAAAAATCGTACTTTCATTAACAAAGCTGATAGTTGACTACATCCAGAGAAATATGCTGTCAGTAATTTTGTTCACAATTTCAATATAACATATTTTCTTTGCACTGAAATTCTTGCTATTGAACAGTATACGACTGAAAAATCGTTTACAAAAATAGCTTTCATTGCTCAGTTTCTTGTCTCAACAAAAGGACTGATAGATATCAATCATCATGGGAATTTCCAAATTCATTGAAAACGTTGATTCTTTCAAACAAAAATTACTTTTATTCAGTATTCTATGTATATAATTTCCGTCAATGAATCCAGACTGGAGAAGATTTATGAAAAACGCCATGAAGTATCCGATATTTTTGAGAGTGATTCAATATAATGGGGTCAAACCAAAGAAAATGTAATATGAAAGAGGAGTGTAACAACAATTTTTGATATTTCTAAGAGACTTGAAAATTAAAAGTTAATTTTTTTTCTTTTTGGACTGTTCTCATGAGTAGATACTGTTCCTAAATATGAAATATATCATTCAAGTTAGCAGACCTTTTAAATCAGTATAGTTCAAAAGATATCACTAGAAAAAAGCTACATGATAGTGTAATACAGTGTATTTCTTTAATTACCCCCCTCCTTTTATTTTTTGAACGGGTCAACTCAAAAAATTAAAATTTGAGATAATGAAATTAATGCATGAATACTTTGAACATTTGCTCCATCTTGTTGTGATACAATATCCATATCAAACTCATTAGGATTCGCTTCGAGGATTTTAGTGATGAGAGAGTCAATAGTAGTTTCCAGCATATTCAAATACAGTTCCCCTGTTGAATTTTGATCAATAAATAGAGGTCCTACAATATGATTTCCCAATATTTCTGCTTAAACGTTATTTTTTTCTGGAAATTGGGTATGTGTTTCCTGGAAAACGTGAGAGTTGGTGTCACTCCAATAACGACAATTTTGTCTGTGAACATTGCCGTTTGAAAAAAAATTACATTCGTCACTGAAACAAATATTGTGGAGATAGGTAGGATGCCTTGCATTGGTTTTCGTTATGATTTCGCAGAATTCTGTTCTTCGATCAGGGTCATCTTCAGTTAATCGGTGGACCATTTTAATTTTGTATGGATGATAACTATTCCTTTTCAAAAGTCTCCACTCTGTAGAAGAAGACACCTCACAAACTTTCGCGACGGAATAAGTAGACTGTTCAGGATTTACTAGCATCTCACCAATTAATTTGAACTTGCTGTTCTTCCGGAATGAACGGATGACCTGGGGGCTTTTTGTTATGTACACTACCGTTAGTTGTGAATTTGGATACAAGTTCCATCAAATATGTTGTACAGATAGGACGATTCGGAAAACGTTCATTGAAAATCCTTTCGGTCTCGTGAAAGTTACGCGTCGCACCGTAAATAAAAATGTCTTCAATTTTTTCTTCCAATAAACGAGAATTGACCATTTTAGAGATTGTTGGCGTGGTACATTTCTACTAGTAAAACCGTGAACTGAATGAGAATATTCTAACTGAACAATAATGTTCATTGTCGTACTGATATTTTTTGTCGTTTTTATAAACAAAATATAACTTAACAAACCTTATCGGGTTGTTGGAATTGCTATATGGCAGATAAAAAGGAATATTTCTAGAAATATCAATATTAATGTTTGTCTTCAGGAAATTATTAAATGTTCCGTCATTTCGTAGTAGGTGGAAGATATTGACTTCATATTCTAGGGTTGTCAAGTTGTCAAGTAGGAGCTTTGAAATGATGTGTCACAGGACCTCCTTTTCCATTTATTTTTTTTGCCAGATGGGAAAGTTTCATCTGTCAATTTCACTTCAAAATAAAGTATTCATGCAATAATTTCATTATCCCAAATTTCAATTTTTGAGTTGACTCGTTCAAAAAATAAAAGGGAGGGACATTAAAGAAATTCACTGTATGAATTGAAGTACAACAAAATTATCTACTTACTGCAGTCTACATTTTGGAGAACATCACAATAGTTTTTTATGTGGTTCCAGTATAGATCATTAGGACATGTCATCCAGTATCTATATCCTTGGTAGCATTCGTAGAACATTTTACAGTTGTCTGGGTCAATATCGTAAGTAATTGTATCGGATGGATACGCGCATCGTGGGTCACGAGTTTGACCTGTTGAAAGCATTAACATTCTGATATGTATCATGTAAAATAGACCAATATGTCACAGAGTTTGTCATTTCCATATTACTATATGACAATTCTTCCTATGAAAGCTACATTGTGGCTAACAGATCAAAATCACGCTCATAGCAGAAAATTGACGGGCCTAACGACGATTTTTGTCTCTTTCTGCATAATAAGTAGCCATATTACATTGCTTTTCCAACACCACTGTTTCGACCTATCATAGCTTTCACTACTAGCCCATGCATACAGGATGATTCACGGTGGATGGAACATTAGACATTTCTGGTGAACCAGACAACGTATCACTTTGAAAATTCAATGAAGAGCACTTTCGGACCTTCTCTATCCAACTAAAATATTTTCGACAATGCGGTGTTGCTACTTCCATTAGAAAGTAGTAGCAACTTGATTTTTCGAATGGAACACCCTGTATATAATATCATTTTTGGAATCTACAACAATTACTTGACAAATCCTTTTGTTATTTTCCTTTACCTACCTGATAATAGAACAAGTAAAAGATTTCAAATATCTAGGCGTAACAATAGACGAAAAAGGAAGACAAGAAGCAGAAATTAACAACAGAATCGAGAAAACCATAAAATTGTACTATACAATGAATAAGAGCTTCATCAATAAAAGAGAAATTTCAAGACAGACAAAACTACAAATATTCAAAACAATATATAGGCCAGTATTAACATATGGATGTGAATCTTGGATATTAACAAAAAAAAATAAATTTGGTATGGAGTTAGGTGGGTCGCAAAGACCCATACTCTAAATCGGTACGACCAATCAGCATTACAGCCTTCCTGTTGAAACAACTTGAGAGGATACTGGACGGACATATCAGGAGAGTAGCATTATATGCATCCCCCCTGAATGACCACCAGTAAGCTTATCATATCGGCAAATCGACAGATTTAGCATTAAACAGCTTCGTTGAGAAAATCTCCCAATCCCTTTACAGCAAGGAGATTGCGGTTGCTGTATTTCCTGACATTGAAGGAGCATTTGACTATTAACTACCTAAATCTATAGGATTGTATATGGCTAAGAAAGGTATAGAATCGACCATAACTGTCTGGATCTATACCATGCTAGTGAAGAGAACTACAACTACGACTCTTCAAGGCGAGGCTATTAGGTTCAGGGCCCCAGGGGCTGCCCTCAATTGGTGCAATTTTCTAGTGGCCGAAGGCTTTAGAGAAAACGGCACAAGCGAAGCTCTCCGGCTTACAGAGACAGGCTTGTCTGGCTATCACTGGTGCCATCAGTACCACACCGTCAACGGCCATGGAGATCCTTCTAGATCTACCTCCTCTCCACATTTTTCTGGAGAGAGAGGCTAGATGGACTGCATACAGACTTGGGCATATTGCCAATTGCCCAAATCAATTCAAAGCAGAGTGCAACAGACTGTTGGTTGACACTGGAAGTAACAGCATTCTGGAAATAACCTCTGACTTAATGCCTCCAACTGTCAACTACGAACTGCCTTATAAAGTACTATTATCGAGTAGAGAGGACTGGATCCTCCGGAAGAAGAAAATATTAAGAGCAGATAGTTGTTGGTTCAAAGATTGATCAAAAACACCTTCCGGTTTTGGTGCAGGTGTTTTCAGTCGTAGACCCAGGACAGAGATATACCTGCCTAGGAACTTAGGCGACTGTATTTCAAGCGGAAATTTACGCTATTGAATTGTATGCGGAGAGATTGGATAAATCCAACCTCATACACAAGTCAATCAAAATAATCTCGGACATTTAAGCGGCATTGGTAGCTCTTGACTCCTACCGAGCAACGTCTAAATTGGTAGCCAATTACCGAAAACGACTCTTCTCGATAGGAAGACTTAACAGATTGTCTCTGGTCTGGATTCCTGGCCATACTGGCCTGGAAGACCATGAAGCTGCTGACTACCTTGCAAAGGAGGGAGCTGCAAGCAGCTTCATCGGACCAGTACCTGTCATTGGCATCGCCTTAGGCGAACATTGAACACCTGGAAAGCAAGAAGATTTTTGGACTTCTGGCAGAATCTTCCAGGATTGGCTCACTCCAAGGCGTTTATTAACCCTTCGGAGCTTAATACCAAACAGTTGTTGATATGATATTTCGTAGTCCTTGCCTATTGTTGTAGGGAAGGACTACGATGTCTAAACACGCCTTCTTACAGGTCACTGTCATTTGAATAATCATATGCCGAGATTTGGACTGTCGGAAGACAGTCCATCTCTGCAACAGTGTGTGTCGCTTCTGTTTGGAAAATGATGAAACAGCAGAGCATATACTCTGTACCTGCCCCGCTGGGGACCGAATCAGGTTCTTAGAGTTTGACAGAGCCGTACTCTTACCATCTGACCTGAAAGACCACTCACCATACAAACTAATCGACTTCGTTGAGAAGCTGGGTTTATTTGGCCGAGTGTGAATAGGTGTGAGCCACAATGAAACCTTGCGGGTTGCGGTGGAGGGTCGAATAGACCCACTCAGTTTAGACCTAACCTAACCTAGGTGATACCCGGAGGCTTTCCACAGCTCAGCGTGATTTCCGTTACCTCAATACAGGGCGGTAAAAAATACAGTTTTTCGTTAGCTTGAAAAAGTTACTGAAAGTTGATTATCCTAAATGGAACATTTTTCGTATTGTTACCTCACTTGTACACTTTCGGAGAAAAAAATACGAGATGAACCTGATAATGAAATCCTTCGTATGGAGTACAAAAAATATAGAAATGAATCGAATCAATTAATACAAACGTCTTCTTGTTCATTTGCAGACTTGTATCTGTATTGTACATGAACATACTTTTTTGTTTGTAATCTATGTTACCTATGTTCTTGTTATCTATATTTATCGTCTTGTAATATCTATTTATTTATTGTGAATTCTATAGACCATAATACTATAAACTACTCACGAACTGAAAATTCTTTCACCTATGCACAAGGGAAATCTTCTTTTGGGCGCTTTTTATTTATTCATCATCATTTACTGTTAGCAATAGTTGTATTCGAACTCTACTTGTATATTTGGTAAATAAATTGTATTGTATTGTATTATACACACATCGTAAAAGTCTAGGGATATTTTTAAAAATGGCAATATTTTTTTTTAGATCGCTTTAGGGAAAAAAAGTTGACGGGCGATTATTAAACGAATGTAACTTATAAAAAAAATTATTAAATGGTCAAAAATACTGAGTGCGCATATAAGCAAAACTAAAAAAAAATATGGCTCTTCTTTGGCATCCCGAAAAAAAAATCATAACACAAAAAAAATTGGAATCAGTAAAAATATGGCCTCCACGTTGGTTTATTACGGCCCTACATCTATCGTGCATCGACAAAATGAGATTGTCAATGTCTTGTTGAGGTACATTTGCCCATTCAGCGATTAAGAGCTCTCTCAATTGAAACGTCTAGTCAGTCACTAGACGCGCGACATGTGGACGAGCATTATCTTGCATTAGGTGGGAGTTTTCACCAACAGCACTAGCAAACGGACGGACGATAGGTAGAAGAATGGTATCGAGGTACTGTCGAGCTGTACCTCTGTATGTGTGGACTTCCTGGACGTATCTCAAACGTTCATTATTTCCAGGTCGTCTCCACAGTCTTACTCGACGAGAATCTGGATGAACTTCAAATCTGGATTCGTCTGTAAACGAAACTGTGACCCAATCATTTGCATCCCAGTTTTGATGTTCTTGACACCACTCTAATCTTCTACCGCGATTGCCTCTCGACAAAGGTGGACATCTAAGTGGCCTTCTGTTGTGGAGATCTGCATCATGCAGTCGATTCCTGACAGTATCACGACCAATGGTTACCTGGTGCGTCTGCTGCAACACGTTAACCAACTCAGGTGCTGTGATTGTCGGTTGTCTTCTTGCGGTTAAGACCAAAAATCGATCTTGAACTTCAGTTGTAGCGCGTCCTCGCCCTGGATGTTGTTCGGCTGGCCTACCAGTTTCACGGAAACGCCGCCACAATCGACTGATAACACTTTGGGAGACACCCAAACGAAGAGCTACATCATTTTGTCGCATGCCACCTTGAAGAAGCCCTACAGCTCTATGCATCTCAGCCAATGGTAAGTGATGGCGTTCCATGTTAAAGCACAATATTTCCAGTTTAATTGCTGAGCAAGAACTGCATAGAATGTACAAACTCGACACTTTCAGATTATTCATTTTAGCCGAAAACCTACAGTTTGTAAAAAACTTGATAAAAGATTAGTTACCGTTTTTGCAGGCTTTGCTCAACCCATAGAAATCTACAGGGTGGTCGAGTGTACCAATTTAATCGAAATTAAACGACCTTATGCATTTATTTTTATGATATTTAGTATGTTATAAAAATATCCCTAGACTTTTCCAATGTGTGTAATAATATTCCCATTCGGTATTTTGTAGGCAGGCCATGATTACTATTTGACAGTAACGTTATGACATTCCCCTCATAATATTGATATTTTCGTCACTTCAAATGATGAAATAAAACTATTCAAACAAAGTTCTTATGAATTTGTTTATGTTCGGACAGTGTGATAAAATCATTAGCAGGACAATTAGAAAACTAACGAAAAGTATCCGAATCTACCGCAAATGAACCACAAGAAATTTATACGAATGCAGAACAATTTCAACGCATTTGAAACAACTTTAAAAGGATCAAGAAATTTGCGTCGACCCGTAGCTTCTGAAAACAACCAGATTAATGTCTTAGCATATTTTCACGCATTTCCGGAGTCATCGTCAAGAAGTGCTGAAGAAGATTTGGGTATAAAATATTCATCGGTTCAAAGAATTTAGCAGAGACATAAAATTAATGATTATAAATTCACCAAAATTCAAGCATTGAAGGCTCAAGACCCTCAACAGAGAGTTGAATTTTGTGAAATGATACGCTTTCAAGAAAATCAATTTTTTTTTATAAAATTATTTGGACTGCAGAATCGAAATTCTCGAGAAAATAAATTTTTAATAGACAAAATTGTCATTATCGGTCCAGTGAAAATCCTCACATCCCAAAAAAGTCGAATTAAAAAAAACCAGTTTTAATGTCTCCTGCATATTGCTCAAGAGAAGTTAGCGGAGAACTGTATAGACTTTTTGACGATCATTGGATAATGCGCTTGGGACCATTAAGTTGGCCAGCGAGATCACCCGATCCTAATCCATTGAATTTTCATCTGTCAAATAGTGATCATTGCTTACTCACATAATACCGAATGGGAATAACATTCTGAAGGAACATTTTCACGAATCTATATGCTCATAAGTCCGAAATTTGACCAGTTAGATACACGCATGATATACATATAAAGAACGCAAATTTTAACACTTGAATTTGTAATGATACAAAAGATGTTACTTTGGAAATAATCAACTTCAAGTCACTTTTTCAAGCAAACGAAAAACTGTATTGTTTTATCATCCTGTATTGGAGTAACGGAGATTACACTGAAGTGTGAGAAGTCTCCAAATATCAGCTAACTCCAAGCCAACCCAAAGATATCAGCATTTTCAGATGTCAAATAATATCATATACAGGGGGTTCCATTTTGAAAATCAAAGTTACTACTGCTTTCCAATGAAATTGGCAACACCGCATTAAATTTCAAGAGTGATCCGTTGTCTGGTTCACCAGAAACGTCTAATGTGCCATCCACCGTGAATCATCCTGTATATTGTTGTACTCAACTGTTTTGAAGAGAAAACTTGAGATTAAATGCATATGTGGATCTTCCATCAGAAAGTCGACTTAAATTATATCAACCACAAAAGTTCAACTGAAGAATAAAGTTGATAATGTGAGAATTGTTTGATTATTATAATGGCTACTTTCTGTATATTTCATTTAGTTCATTTTTCTGTTTTTGATAAAAAAATCTTACTCACTTGTAGGATTGGCAGTTGAAGCTGAAAACAGAAAATATTGTTAATAGTAACTAACTCTTCTATTATGTAAATATTTGGCTTGAGAATTTGGGAATTCAAAAATTCCAAAACTCAAAAATTCTAACTGGAAATATAATACGACAAATAGTGAATATTACTTGCATGAGGCTTATGAAACTTGTCAACTTTTGGTCTCTGTTTTAATGTCCGTTTGAGTATATGCTAACTTCAAATTGAATAATGACGTTTTATAACTGAAAGAATATTTTCTTTCAAAACAGACTGACGGTTCCTAAGCGCGTTGAGGAGTTTTTCAACGAAGTTTATGAAGTATTGAGAATTCCATACAGTTAATGTGTCATCACTTGAATTTTTGAGTTGCTATTTTTAATTTTTGAAAAATAATCTAACCCACCTGTAGGAGCAGTAGTTCGAGCTGAAACCAAAAAAATTGTTGATATAAAAATTGTGTAATAATAATAATAAATGTTCTTATTTCTACATTCCACGTACACTGAAGTACAGTTATGATTAGATGAGAAAAAAAAACAAACACTTAACCCTTGTTGTAGTGAGGTCTACCTAACCTAAGTCTACTTAACCTAAGTCTGTCTAATCCTAACCTAAACCTAAACTTTTTTGGTCACTCATAATTTTCTTATTTTACAATCGACTGTTTTTTGACCACACTTAAAAAAAAGTGAAGAAACAGAAAATACAAAGGAGAAAAAATAAATGAGTGAAGTTAGGGAAATGTTTGGTAAATATTTTTTGAGTTCTTTCTTGAATTTTATTTTATTTAATTGTTTAAATTCAGGAGGTATCGTATTGGATAATTTATACATGTTAAACTGGAAGCTTCTTTCGTAGAGGGAAGTTCTGTGTGCAGGACATATCATTTCTGAGCATTATTTTCTCTGAATGTTTGGTTTGATTATTTGGGTTAAGAGTTCAAACAATCTTCAATATTCATATCATAGAAAACTTCAATATTTCCATATTTATTCAAGGAAATCTTCAACAATCAACTTATTCATACAAGCAGTTTTTCTAGCTGATCCAGTTTGAGGGACTACAAAAATCTCTTTTCAGATCGAGAAAATCAGTGGTTGTTTTTAAATTATTAAAAAAAAAATAGAATTTGTTGAAAATCCATAATTAACGTGTTCAAAAAACACTTTACTAGAGTGAAGACACGCCTGAAGAAGGCATGGCGAAACAAGTGTTACGTTTTTGTAAAACTGTTTAGTGAAAATCTCACAATAAAAAATAGAACTGTCAAGTTTGGTTTTTTTGGTTCTACCGCCTCCATTTCGAATGATATTAAATAGAAAGGAATCTTCCAATATTGTTTCATATCTATACCTACTAATGTTATAAACTAATATTATAAAGTTTGTGAGGATGGATAAATGTATGTATGTATGTTTGTGGCTCTGTCACGCCTAAACGAATGAACGGATTTAGATGAAACTCTACATAAATACAGCTTATACATCAGTAGGTATAACATATAGGCTACAGTTTACAAGGGTTTTGTATATTTTTGGTCATAATATAGCGATAATTATTGAGTAAGTCGGAAAAATTCTTGATCCCGGAGAGCTATCTTGTCGTGCGGTGCCTATACCGTTGAAGTTACATAAAGACAATGTACCGTAAGATTGTTTATCTTTAATAGAACTGAATAAAAGTCCGCGATAGCACATATCTACCTCTTATGTGGTAGCCACTATATGCAAAATACTGAGCCATAAATACAATTGAATTGGATACTTGTTTTACAATGCACATTTTAGGATATCTGTCAAATTCTTATAAAAATTGATACATTGGTCGTTTTGAGTATTTGATATAGATCAACTTTGTCTTTTACACTAAGTATTTTGGACGAATCGTTTGAAAGATATCACGATAAGATCAAGTTGACGCAACGAAGTAAGCCATTACGCATCCCGTCTACTGAAAGACGACAGGATATGATACGCGGGGGTGGAGGGGCGGTCTAAGCAATGAAGCGTCATCGCCGAGAACGCGAACATAATTCGATTCTGGAAGCTATTAGGTATAAGTACAATAACAGGAAATGTATGAACTGGATAAATGTATATATACAAAAAAGAAAATGTTTCAAATGTGATAGAAATGTACATTAACATGTGTTTAGCAGGATTAGATACTACAAAAGAGAAAAATAAAGTTAGATATTGTAAGTAAATGTCATAATATAATTTATTATAATTGATATAATTATGTCACATGAACCACATATCAGATTGAAATTATTGCAAATGATTGAAACAGGCGATCTCTTTAATTTGACTGTTCTAGCACGATCACAGTAGAATACCTTCGCGTGCCTACTATTTAGTCGAGGTACAGTAAACGGAATTTTTGCTAGAAGGAATTCACAGCTTATGTTATTATGTAGTAAATTATATTCAGTGAGATGAAATTGCTTTCATTGAGAAGTATAGAGTAATCAATGTTACGGTCTGGGTAAATACAAAATTTTTTCAAATATAAATATTTGAAAAAATTCCTTTGAACACGTTCTATCGAACTTATTTGGGTTGTATGAAGGGGATACCATATTAATACCCCATATTCTAATTTGCTACGCTCATAACAGTTGAATAGTAATTGTTGCTGGATCTGCAAATTCCCTACCATTCCTTAATATGAAGCCTAACATTTTATTAGCTGAAGACACGGTACTTTGAATATGAGGATTGAATGACATCTTTTGGTCAAATAATATGCCAAGGTCGCGCATTTGAGTCAAATGATTCAAGATTGTATTACTGGTATTGTATGAAAACATCAATGCATTTTCTTTCTTCGAGAAGGTGACAGTTGAACATTTGTTGATATTCAACTCAAAGTGGTTTGTAGTACCTACACCATACATGTTCTGTGTTGAAATCACGCTGTAATGAAATGCAATGTTGAGTTGTGAAGATACTTTGATGAATTTTCAAGTCTTCAGCATATAATACACTGGAGCATTGAAGATCCAGTGTGAGGTCATTAATGAAGAGGAGGAATAAAAGACGCCCAAGATCGGAACCCTGTGGTACTCCTGAAGTTGGTGTTATTATGAAAGAGCGATATTCTTGGAATACGACATATTGCCGCCTGTCGAAGAGATATGACTCACATAAAGACAATAGTTTTAGAAGAGAATCCTAAAAAACTAAGCTTTCGCAGTAAAATGTCTGGTCAATTCTATCAAAGGCTTTTTGTATATCCATATAAACAACATCTACTTGACCTCTCTGGTCCAAAATTTCGCAGACAAATTGATTCATATAAGAGAGGTTTGTCACACAGGACTTTTTATTAACAAAACCGTGTTGTTCAATAGATAACATACACTTTGTTGCATTGTTTATGTCATTGTACAGAATTATTTTGAAAAGTTTCGCAAAATTTCATAACACAGAAATTGGTCTATAATTTTTAATTACAATGTGTTTACAATACAGGTACGTATTTGAAAAAAAAATAGTTGATGAAATCTAATGAACGGAATGTTGCATTGTAAATTGAATTATATTGAATTATTACAAATTTGAAACAATGTTGACATTTCCCATGCCTTCTTTCCATATCATTCGAGATGAGGCGGTGGAGCCAGAAAACGGGATTCGACAGTTCTAGTTTTTGGCGAATCTTCAAAAACAACCACTGATATCCTCAATCTCGAAAGGGATTATTCAAGTTCCCCAAAATAAAAAACCTTCCTTCAATTCAACCCACCTTGTATGTCTCACGATTTACGAGATAGCAATGGTGGGATCCGTTAAAAAACGGCCTGTATATTTTGGATTTTATTTAGACTTGATCTAAGACTGATAATTTCTTATTCATCAATGATATGTGTGATACGATTTGAGCATAAAAAAAATCAACCTACCTTTCTGTCATTTTTTATTATTGTGCGAAGCTACTTACCGGTAGAAGGAAATGCTGAAAAAAATGAAACAAAGATTAGTTTGCTTTAAAATTTCAGTGATAGAGACAGAGTTTTATACTCTGACATTCATTCTCAGTTATTTATCGGAGGAATTATATGTGATATGAAGTGATGAGATGGTCACAGAAGTGAAAATGCTGACAAGATGCTGAAAAATTGACACATTATATTGCTGCAAAGATGGACAAAAAGTTATGATGTCTTTCATGAGAGGGAATCGGATATCGTACTATGGATTTCATTCATTCATTCATTAGTATATTACTATCTATAGTGCTTTTCTTCAATGTCCCCCACTTTTAGTTTTTCAACGGGTCAACTAAAAAAATTGAAATTTGGGATGATGAAATTAATGCTATGATGTCTTTCATGAGAGGGAATCGGATATCGTACTATGGATTTCATTCATTCATTCATTAGTATATTACTATCTATAGTGCTTTTCTTCAATGCCCCCCCCTTTTATTTTTTCAACGGGTCAACTCAAAAAATTGAAATTTGGGATGATGTAATTAATGCATGAATACTTTATTTGTGAAATTGACAAGATGGCGACTGGGCACCATCTGGGAAAAAATTAAATGGAATGGGGGGTCTTGTGACGCATGAAACTCTTGACAAATGCTTCACAACCCTGAAATAAAATGTCAATATCTTCAACTACTACAAAATGGCGGAACTTTCAATAATTGCCTGAATACATTGACATTTAACTACATAATATTTTCACGCCGAACATTTTCGAACACAGTAACGTCAATATCTCTACAAATATACATTTTTCTCTGCGGTATATCCCATATTGAAGCAGGTTCAGTTTCGTATACCTTTTGCTTCAAATAGCCCCATAAAAAAATCCAAAGGTGTCAAAACTGGCGAGCGGGCTGGACATTTTGTAAGACCTCGACGGTCAATCCAACGACCGGGGAAAGTAGTATCCAAATAGTTTCTTACTTGTTTGGAGTAATGTGGTGATGTTCCATATTGTGGAAATACAATATCCATATCGAATTCATTAGGATTTCAGTGTTGAGAGGATCAACAGTAGTTTTCAGCATATTCAAATACAGTTCTCCTTTTAAATTTCGATCAATAAATAGAGGTTCTACAAGTTAATTTTTTCTAGATATTGGGTATGTGTTTCCTGAAAAAACGTGAGGTTTAGTGTCATTCCATTATCGGCAATTTCGTGTGTGAACATTGCCGTTTAAAGAACGTCATAGTTTTCCAGGCCGTCTGAGGGGGTGAAAATAGGGTGGAAAATAGAAAAAATCGTATCTTCGAGAATTGAATCTGTGAAGTTTTTGATATGTTATCCATGTCGATCTATTCGACAGAAAAAACATAATGTCACAGTTTTCCAGGCCGTTTGATGGGGTGAACATGGGGTGAAAATATCAAAAAATGTCTTAATATGAAAAATCAACTTTGTACACCTACGAAATTGAGATATGTTATTTCTGATGATCTATTCGGCTGAAAAAACTCCACGTTATAGTTTTCCAGGCCGTCTGAGGGGGTGAAAATGGGGTGGAAATTTGAGAAAATCATATATTCAAAAATAGACTTTGTACACTTACAAAATTGAGATATGTTATTTCTGACACCCGATTCAACAAAAAAAAACTTCTCGTTATAGTTTTCCAGGTCATCTGAGGGGGTGAAAACTTGAAAAAATCATATATTTAAAAATTAAGTTTGTACACCTACAAGATTGAGATATGTTATTCCTGACACCCGATTTGACGGGAAAAACTCCACGTTATAGTTTTCTGNCGTTTCAGGGTGTAGAAATTTCAAAAAATCATATATTTGAAAATTGAATTTGAACACCTACAAGATTGAGATTCTCCTGGTGATCGATTCAACAAATCAAAACAACGTGTCAGAGTTTTTCAGTTCTGAGAAGACCTGAAACTATTGCACCATATTAGTTGTTTGAAATGATGAATTGATAAATGTTAGTGTAATGTATGTAGGACTAGATACTTCGGAAACAGTCTGACAACACTGCAAAGTTAGTATCTTTCAAATGCCTCAAAGAAACATATCAGCCTCTTGATTTTCATAAACCATAAAACCAAAGCAAAGGAGAACATTAACGTTAGAGTAAAAGCATGTTTTTGGAAATATTCACATTATTTATTAATTATAACGATTGTAACAATCTTGTAGGTGTACAAACTCAATTTTTGAATATATGATTCTTTCAAGTTCACACCCCATTTTCACCCCCTCAGACGACCTGGAAAACTATAACGTTTGTTCAGCTGAATAGATCATCAGAAATTACATATCTCAATTTTGTAGGTGTACAAAGTCGATTTTTCATGTTAAGACATTTTTTTTGATATTTTCACCCCATGTTAACCCCTCAGACGGCCTAAAAAACTATGACGTGAAGTTTTTTATGTCGAATAGATCATGATAGATAACATATCTCCAACTTGTAGGTGCACACATTCAATTTTCGAAGATACGATTTTTTCAATTTTCCACCTAATAGATCATGATAGATAACATATCTCAAACTTGTAGGTGCACACATTCAATTTTCGAAGATACGATTTTTTCAATTTTCCACCCCATTTTTACCCCTTCAGACGGCCTTGAAAACTATGATGTGAAGTTTTTTCTGTCGAGTAGATCATCAGTAATAACATATCTCAATTTTGTAGGTGTACAAAGTCGATTTTTCATGTTACGATTTTTTAAAATATTTTCGCCCTATTTTCACTCCTTCAGACAGTTTAATAAACTAAGACGGTTCTGTTTTTTACTGATCCAGTCAATTAGCGTACCATGTTGAAAAATGGTAGGTGTGCAGAGTCGGTAAATGAAAAGATAATAATGCGATATTTTTTTCTCAGTGTACTTTGTGGTTGTGGATAACTTCACACCCGTGAAATGCAAAGAGAAATGAAAAACGTATCAAAATAATTGAGGCTAATAATCAGCAAAAAAGACCGATACTATTATTATTGAAATTACGAAGGATACGAGACGATGGTCTGAATAGTTTCCGACCTAACAAAGATACAGGACATGTTTTGAGATTTCAGATTAGTCTGCTTTCAACCATGCACACTTCTCCCAGCGATGCTTCCATCTCTGTAACCCGACCAAATAGTACTCAACGTTTCTCTCTGCACAATAATTGATCACGAAGGTGATTGCTTCTTCATTAGACGAAAATCCCTTCGAGCGTAATTTTCAGATAGGGAAACAAAACAAAGTCGATTGGGGCTACATCTGGTGAGTGAGGCGGATGATCAAGCGGTTCAAACCTTAATTCGTGGATTTTCTCCTTGGCAACCGCTGAGGTGCGTTGTCTTGGTGAAACAGGATTTTTCTTTTTTTGTGGATGTGGCCGTTTTACTGCAAGTTATGCCTTCAGCTTGGTATGTAATGATGCGCAGTGTGCTCCTGTGGGGGTTTTCCCTTTTCAAATATAAACCCCAAAAACAGTTACCGTCAGATTCCCAACCTGAAAAAGAGTTTTTGTTTTTTTTTCGAAGCCGGAAGCTTGGACTGTATCTTTGTTTCGGACGTTTTTGGTATAACATGAGAAAACGCGGCACCCAAAGCACAGAAATCTTCCTCATGCCTGAATGTTGATTCAATATGTGACATACACGATCTGTTGATATATTCATCACCTCTGATATCTCTCTCTCTTCAATATGGCGGTCGTCTAGCACCATTTAGTGAACTTTAGCGACGTTTTCGTAGGTAGTTGCAGTTTTTGGACGTTCGGAACGTTCATCGTCTCCCAAGCTCTTACAGTCACGTCCAAATTCAGCTTCCCGAAATTTTACTAGGGTAAATGATGTTGCACACACACACATACATATTCCAACTCATCTTTAATTCGCGTAGGCGTATTGTCTATCAAACACATATATTTGATGACTGCTCAGTGATATATTTTGTCAATTTTCTTGAAAATACATCAATTCTCTCAAACGATTTTTACAAAATGACTGGAACTTTGGTGGGCAACTGTCAACAGATGAACAAAATAATTCACTAGCTTTCATTCACGAGTGCTGCCATCTTCACGCTGAGGTCGGAAACTATTCAGACCACCGCATAAAACTTCATAACCTCGTAGTTGGTGTTATGAAGTTTTATGGTGAATCAAGCAGGTTGCCTAGTGGAATATACTTACTGTGTGAATTACAGTCAACATCATAGGGATAATCGCATGTATCGGAAATGTCATTCCATTGGAGGCCGGAGGGGCAGTTCATATGGTATTTTTTTCCTTCGAAACATTCGTAGTATCTTGAACAGTCCTCTGGGTCGGGAAAGAAGGTGACAACTTCTGATGGATAAGGACACATAGGGTCAATATCTGCAGCATGCACCAGACCTGTGAAAAATAATGTTTTCACATGATCCCTACATATTCAAAGTTATTAAAATATATTGAGGAACAATGCCCTGAAAAAAGAAGTGAGCATTATCGAAATACTGACGGACAATGCTCTCTTTTGATGCGCATAAATTGTTCTGTGATCCAGTCACACAAAACAACATAATATGGCAAATGACAGTATTGAAATTTTGAAATGATGACAACTGAAGTTTCAGTTTTAGCACGGGACAAAATTTGACTGGCTGTCATAAAAATCTTCACGAATCCAATCAACGACATGTCTTATGGCGAAACATCGATGTCTACCAGTGAGGATGACGACAGTGTTATTTATAGGTGGGATTTTACCATTAATTTAGTATATTGTGTAGAAATCCTGTGAATGATATCTGATGTAATTCCATAACGAATATTTGGAATACAAAGTGAGTAGAAAAAAGTGTTTTTGTGTAATTCAGTATTCATAAGAAAGTATTTTGTTTTCGAGTAATTCAATGTTGATATGAAAGTAGCTGTTTCAGGAGGGCTTTTCCAGTTTGTGTCTGAAAGTAACTTATTTACATAATCTACACATCTTTAGAGTTACTACTTTGAAAAGCATCAAAAGTTTCTGAGGTTCTACAAATTTTTGGTTCGGAATGGTGTTCCAAGCTTTTGAGAAGCAGCCTTTGCAATTCCAGCGACATGATTGTGCCAAGACATATTGGTAACCCCCAACAAACTTATCGAAGCAGAAAGCGGAATTGTATGACCTGATGTTATAATATCTATTTCGGAGACATTTATCTTCTTGGAAAAAACCGATGCTTGGGTTTTTGTGGCATTGAGTTGAACCTGGTTACTTCCACCCCACTATTATATTGTTATTTAGTGTCTCCATATCTATCATTAGTAGACATTGCAATGCTTGTGATACTTTGTGAAAGCGCAGTTCTGAGGTATCAGTTACAGATGTAAGCATTACCTGTAAGTGGGAACGTCTTAATGGAAATAACAAATTTTTCAAATGAAAGACGTATACAACCCAGTACAGAAGAGAATATCACTTTTCCATCGGTAAACATATTGTATAATGATAATTACTAGTTTCATTTCTTTGAATTCGAACTTACCTCCTATCAGTGATACAAGAATGATGATAGAGTCTGAAAAAAAAAACAACTTTAGTGAATTTAGGGGGAGAAACTACTGCTCACCTGATCGTTGTGAAATTTATGTAATTGACAGCCAAAAAAATGTTAAAACTAACTAGTTTGAATTCCAAATACAATCTCAAAAAAAAGAAATAGTACTGTATTTCATTTCATGAGAAATTGTCAAAGAATACGTAGGTATTCAACAGTATAATTTCTAAAAAGAAGGGCTAATTTCAGAATAACAGCTAATCAGTTCATCAAAATATTTCGAAATTCAATATCCGAGTTGAAAAGCAGGTAATTGACACGAACAAAGTGTGACTTTTCATGATTTCCTTCCTATTGTATGAAATACAATCCAATTTTTTGTCGAAACATCAAAATGACTCTGTATGAAGAATTCATTCTTTATTCAAATAGTTACCCATATTTCACTGTCTGTTCAAAAGATAAGGTGAATTTTGAATTGATCCCAAAAAGTATTACATCATATATTGGTAGGAAACAAATATATAGAAATAATATTCAGGCGATTTGGTTGTGACTTCAATTATATTTACAGTTGTTGCAATAGGAGATAGTGGAAAACAATGCAATTGTTGTTAGAAAATATAGGAAAAGTTAATGTACTAAATTTCACGCAAATGAAGTCGCCATAAAAAGTATTATTTTCATATGTTGACTTGTATCAATAACCAGAGAATCTTCACAATTGAAATAACTTTATTCTACTTACATTTCATTATATTTGCTTTTCCAGACAAAACCCCAATAATCTCAACTTGTGATTCTATGATTTTCTTTTTTATATCAGCTTTCCGATATTATCTTTATTTTCATAACCGACAATCGAATGGCTTTCAGAATGCGTGGATTCGTTGGAATTATTAGAAACAATTTATCAGAAGATACTGATAACACAATTAAATGAGATTTGATCAATGAACAATACTTTGTCGGTCCACCGTATGTACTTAATCAGTGAAAGATAAAAGGAAAAGTAGCATGAATCGCAAGGCGGAATTTTTGTTCTAAAATCCATTGCAAAACCTTTTGACTCTCTTCCAATTCTGTTCAATAGGAATAGGAAAAATTGATTCATCATTAACACCACGGGTATCAATGAACCCTGTTTATCTGACCATAGAACCACATGAACCACATGAAAATTATCATGAATACAAAAGGCATATATCAGCTAACGGTATAACTAGGCTTAAAAATGACTTATGTGATATTAATTGGCAAATATTTTTTAGCGACCCAATTGATCCAATTTTTTTAGCAAATTTTTTAGTCACCAATTATAACACTCTCACATCAAAACTTTTTCCTCTGAAAAAATGTAAACGAAAAGTGAACAAATCACTGGTTCAATGGTTTTCAGATGATCTGAGATTGTTAAGAAATAATATGCACAGCCTCAAACAAATAGCAGACATAACCAAGACCCCAAATGGTTTCACAGCGTATAAATAGGTCAAAAAAGAATATGGTAATAAACTGATATCCGCTAAAAAAATAGCGTATGATGAATACATTTCTTCGTCCAATAATAAATCTGAAGCTTGCTGGAAAATAATAAATTTCGAGAGAAATAAATACGATTTAAAACCAACAATCGAACTATCATCTGATGAGATGAACAACTTCTTCAGTAACATTGCTGATAATATTATTAATTCTCTCCCGTATGTTGCAAACGAAGAGCTTTTAAGTTTTAAAAAATTTCCGGCTTCGTGTAAGTCATTTTTCTTCCGACCCGTGCATGAGATAGAAGTTTTGGAAGCGATTAATTCACTGAAGGACACCAAATGTTCAGATACCCATGAACTCAATAGTCGAATACTAAAGGAAACCTCGTCTATAATAATCCAACCTCTTACTATACTGATCAATTTAATCTTATGTACTGGTATCTTTCCAGANATTGTATTCTGTAACATAGTCAAATATATATTATTATTATTATTATAGATAGATATATAATTTATTGGTGTTTTATACACTCATCAGTATTTACACGAGTCAATACATACATATTAATAAAATTAGCATTTGTCAGGCATCTATTATTAATTACATAAACAATAGATGCTTACAATTCAAAGAAAAAAGTTTTTTAATAAAAACATTTATATCTCATGAGTACATCTGAGTTATGTCGACGAGCATACTTAAAAACAAAGCAATGAAATTTAAAGTGGGTATTATAAAACAACGACAAATGTCTATATGGTTGAAGAACTTATATCACAGTGCAGGAATTCTTCGGTGCCAGTTTGGTGCTACCGTCAGAGGTTGAGTCATGTTTGACCTCAGTTAGTTTGGCGCAGTCGATCATCTCCTGTTAAAAGTTCCATTTTCAGATGATTTATCAATAAACTTTGCACGGACTGGTTATAATTCATATTAGGAAACGCCAGTCGAAGTTCCAGAAATTCACATACGTTTTCGCTACCTCTTGAACATTTATTACAAAGTGAACAAGTGAGGATTATTTCAGCAAAATATTTATAAACACAAGTTGAAATAGACTGTACGGAATCATTCAATCCAGAGCGGCCAGGAGTATTGATTCTGCTATTGTTTGTTCGTATTCAACAAAACCCCAAGAATTCAGGACATTCCTCTTGATGTCCTAACAAATATCTAGTGGACTTCAAAGACTCCAGGAAATCGGTTGGAGGAAACGATGATACATTCTTACGAAACTGCAGCTGCATAAACAGGTGTATTTTGGAACTGTTATCATTATATAATAAGGTTTTTTTATTTTTCATGATGATCTTCTACCATAATGACTACATCCATTCAATATTCAATTTACTTCATTTCTGTGTTCAAAACTGAAATGTTGACGCCACCACATTCTTCATTTTTGAAGACTGTGTTTTTGTGAACAATTGTTATAAAACCTATAAAAAAAGATCTGTCATTTATACACCTGACAACTCTCTACTGATTCGTAAGGAAGAACACGTTTCACAGAATCTCCATAAGAACCATTTCTTGATATATAGAGTTACTTGATTTTAATACATCTCTAACTTCATTGTAGGTAAATTTTATTATAGTGAAATTTTCAAGATTCAAATTGTTTAGTTTTTTGAAAGGGTGCAAGTTTGAACTATCTATTTCTTTTATTAGGTTTTTTGGATTATTTATAAAGTAGGCATAGAAGGTGTTTGGTGAGACTGGTGTTTAAGTCGTTGTTCTCTGTTTTTGTTCTCTTTACGATAATCCACATGCATTTATTTTGATTTTTCGATTTTTTTGTACGATTGTCATCACATTTCCTTTCAGCATATGCAATAGTTTTTTGTATATTTTTTTCAAACTGTTTAGTTGTTTGAATTGAAGGGGTTATATTTTTAGGAGTGAATAATTTTTGGGAAAGAAAGTTTTTGGCTTTCTACTACTCCATCTTGATACAAAAAAACAAGGATGAGTAATAATAAGTAATTGCACATGTAAGTGCAATTTATTACAATTCATTTAAAGTAGAACTCATGTGAATGATATCTGATTTTTTGTTCCATAACGACTGTTTGAAATACAAAACTGAGTAGAGAAAATTCTCCCAAAAATGTTTAGTTGTTGTTTGAGATAATCAGAAGGATACTCTGTATATATTTCGTTCAAGAGGTGTAGCTGGTCTCGCATGTTTCTTATTTCGCTATTCAACCATGTATTATTTGCTTTTTTTGTTTCTAATATCATAGTTTTTTTCAGGAAATGAGTCCATGAATGCTTTTTCTAATTCACCGATGAGAATTTTCATTTTATCATAAGTTTTTATGTTGTCATCAATAAATGACCAATCTGTGTTTTCAATAATGTTATAGAATACAAATTTACCTGAATCTGTTATATAGGTCGGCTTATCTTTTTGTTTATTATCAATTTGTTCTGATGTATTTCCAATTTCAAGATTTGTCCGTGTTGGTCAGACAGATCTCTTTCTATTGTTGTTGTTTCGTAGGGAAAACATGTGAAATTTATGAATATATTATCATGAAGAAATAAGAATTTGAAGTTTCTATGTTCTTTGCCACTTTTATTTGCCGTTTCGTCCTATAAGAACATTTTCAAACTTATACAATGTAGTAACTGCAGTAACGTTAGTTAAAAATAAAATTGATAAAGAACTAGAAAGTTTCAATTCTCTTTTCTTCATTATAATTTCCTACCACGTAGTAACGGCTACGTCCATCAATTTATTGAATATAGTATCAATACAATTTTCCCCCTAGTAGGACAGTTAATCATTTTTTAAAAACCGCATGATTAAAGCAGATCACACAGGGCTATATTTTCTTTTTGTTTTGTGCAATCTAATTTTTCGAAAATATTTTCTAGTGAGTTCAAAAATATGTCAAAATCTCATGTCATTTGCGGATCTGTAAATGCTATCGTTCGCTGCTATTCTCCATTTGATAACACATGCCTGCGATGAAAAAATTGTAGGATATTTAACTAGTGATTCTTAACAGTATTTTGTGTGCAGATTACGAAAAAAATAGTAAAACCTATAGATAAGTCACACCTATAGATAAGTCACACCTATAGATAAGTCACAAATTTCACTTGAACGATTCAGTATGAGACCTGAGCCTCCCAAAGGACTCAGCAGAAGTTTCAGGGTCTAGACTTAAACAAAGACAACTACGTCATTCTTCATTTTTGAAGACTGTGTTTTTGTGAACAATTGTTATAAAACCTATAAAAAAAGATCTGTCATTTATACACCAAACAATAGTATGAAGGATTAGCGGAAAACACCATTTTCCAGGGTCCAGGTATCCAGAAATCGTACATATCCACCAGGTTAATGTACAATATATGTTTTATAGTAATTCACCTGTTTATATATGCTGAATTATTGAAAATTGGGAAATTGTCAACGTTGTCGAGTTTGAAAAATATCTTAAATATGCTACTGTATGCTACTACTACTACTATATGGTACTACTCATCTGTTTATTTTCTTTCAGACTGAAATTTCAATAGTATTCATCATCGTATCTCAGGTAAAGTCTTCTACAGTAGTTTTGAAATAAAAAGCAAGCCTTTCTCTAGTAATTACTTCTATAAAAACTGTTGATTTCTCAGGAAATTTTGTCTTTCCAGATATCTACATGATCTAAAGTTTCTCACGTTCCTACCTTTCCATTTCGATATGTCAAAGCTATTGAATTTACCAACATTTTGTAGCTGTCTTCAAGAGATTCAATTTTTTTATGAGTAAAATCTTTCAATAGTATTATCTGATATTATCTGTGCCCAAATGATGTTCTCGTTCAATAAACTCATTTCACGCTAATTTTATTCATCTCAGAAATTTCTCAACCATTTCATTACTGCGAATTAGAATTTGTTTTGATCAAAACTCTCACTGATAAATAATTCCAAGGTCTGAGATATGATTATCGAGAGCCATATCTGGTTATTTGCTTGAATTGTCATCATCTGAGAAGATTATAGACTCCATTGAAGTTGATGGATTGATAATACTCGTAAGGGATTAAATGAGTTGCCAATCACAGCTTTTCTAACATATCATGAATTTTATCGTAACTGAGTGTATTATTTTTTGCATATTTTTGTTCATTCTATACTTTCGTAACTGCTATTTGAGCTAACATACGCCAGTTAGTTTTTTTTGTTTTGATTTATTATATTTACAGTTAATTTAGATCTCATGTGAAAGGGTTCAAATATGAATGGAAGGTGAAATGGATGGCAACTATAAACGGTAAACAGATTGTGGCAAATGGGGAGGAGGAGATATGAGGGTAGCAGTAAATGCTGCTCTCACTAACAATATGGGGTTTTTTCGAGCCTCAGTTACATACGACGTTCCGAAGTCGACCTGAGAATGCCGAGGAAGAAAAGCTTGTGATACTGTTAATGCTGACACTGATTCCATCAATGACTGCGGAGAATAGATAACTATTCGATAATGAAACTGGTATGGCAGGAAAAGACGACTGGTAGGAAAAACATCGAGAAGAAGCATCAAACCAAAATGCGTAAAACAGAAATTGAATCAGAAGCTGGTTTATCTCAAGAGGAGGATGGTGACTATGCTTGCATTTATTGTGAGTATGCATACTTAGAGTCAACAGAAGTTTGGGTCATCTGCAGCGTGTGCCATGGAAGTGCCGGAGTCAATGAGGAAGAAAGAGAGGCAAAAATATTTTTGAATGTTGTTTGCCTGATCAGAATGTTTTCTCGTTCTACCCCATACCGTTTCTCATCTAATTTTCGCTGTGGAGCAAAACAGAAAATCCTCCGAACTCACATCAATCATTATTTGGCAAAAAGTTACGTGTTTTTGCATGCCACAACGTTAAAGTAAAAGATACAAACGTATCATTATCAAAAGTTCAATTTCATCAAAAAGTTTAATTATTTTTTTGAATAACGACTTTTGTCTAACTATCTCATTTTGCCCCGGTCTAACCCAATCTGTTTGATTGAATGAAAAACTATTTCTTCAAATCACATATTTATTATTCGAACCAAAAACTATGACAATATCAAGCATCCACACAAACATGTTTAACTGGATCGAATACTTGTTTGCCTTCACAAGTGAAAGTAACAGGTATTCCTCTCACACATTCGTAGAACTTCGATGGATTCCATGGATGAGGAACTAAGGCTCCATCAGGCAAATTACTGCAAACTGATACTGTGAAAAAATATAATTATTAATGAGCATCAATGTATTAGAGGAAAACTAGGTTTGGACTATCGTTAAAAACGTTGATGCATATCAAGTAAGCCTACTAAACTCCTCAAAACAATTGAAGGATCACTTTTCTGAGCTTCTCATTTTTTTATCAGTGGAAAACTTTTTATATGTTATATTATTCTGAAAGGCAATGCAAATAGCTACCATATCCATGCTAAATCACTGAATATTTTCATTGTTGTGTATTAAGTGCACGTGGGAAAAGTAAAGAACTACCAAAATCAGAATGGAAACCTTTCAATTATTGAAATCAAAAGTAGACAAATCATTGTCTTGTGTTAAAATTCACGACTCAGTATCTTGTGTTTTCTTCTTTTTTCAGAAATCGCAGCTCGGATTCGCTGGGGAATTATTCTTAGAAGTCTCTTGAGGTTTTCTTGAGGCCAACGATTTACAGCTCATTCAAAGTGGTGGGTTCATTTTGTTAGCTTCGGATTCTTCTTTTCAGTGTATCCCAGACATATTTGATGAGTTTAAGGTCTGGGCTGCAAGCGGACCACCCCAAAGTATTGTGGACTTGTAGGTAGTCTGACGCACGATCCGTGCACGTGGAAAGGGGCCCCATCGTACATAAAAATGACGTTGTGCAGTCCTGTTTCTGGTCTGTGACGTATCTGGACATCCAACACCTCATCGAAGTACCTTTGGGCGGTCAGGGATTCTTTGCGGATGACTACAAGGTCTTTACGATCATTGAGTGTTATTGCACCCCACACCATTATTGATCCACCTTCAAATGGGACTCTTGAAGATAAACAGCAGCAAAGAAAACGTCATTACTTCTTCTTTTTACTCTGGATCGACCATCATTTCCAAAAATAGTAAATTCCAAAGGTCACATTATTATATTCATCATTAAACTTATTCTTGTAAACGATCATCACAAAGATAAACAGCAACAAAGAAAACGTCATTACTTCTTCTCTTTACTCTGGATCGACCATCATTTCCAAAAATAGTAAATTCCAAAGGTCACATTATTATATTTATCATTAAACTTATTCTTGTAAACGCTCATCACAGAGATAAACAGCAACAAAGAAAACGTCATTACTTCTTCTCTTTACACTGGATTGACCATCATTTCCAAAAATAGTAAATTCCAAAGGTCACATTATTATATTTATCATTAAACTTATTCTTGTAAACGATCATCACAAAGTAGTCATCCTTTGGTTGTTTTGAGGAGTGTATATTCAAATAACCTGAAAACAGGTGAAAGGATGAAATTAGAAGTCATACTCACTTGGAGCTGCAGTGGTTGGTGGCGGTACTGAAAAACGAAGCATCAAATCATTCTTTTCAATTATAAATGTTCATCAAATGGCGCTGCTGATATTCGAGAGATTGGTGTGATATGTGAGTTCAGACCTGAGAAAAGAATTTGGAATCTCTGACTTGCTAGTGTTTATACTTTCTTATGTACAACTGACCGAAATGACACCTCACTGCAATTTAATAATTTTTTGAATTGCAAAATTGGGGGTTTGTTGCTTCTACTTCCATAATAGATCAACACAATGCCTTTCCAGTTTCCCAGCAACTGTCAGTGCAAGAAAAATGGATGGCGCTTCTAATCTTTCAGGATTATTAACCACAATGTAGTGCAAACTCATTTGCAATATTCATCACATCAATCAGAAACTGCATTTAAGGAGTTGGCGCCCAACTTGTGGCCAATTAATACCTTTATCAGCTCTATACATTTTTTGACTCCTTCATCACTGAAATCTTTCGAAAATCAGTTTTAAAATGAGTTCAACACTTCTTTTGTTAACACTAATTCAGTTGGTAAATCGCTTTTTGTGAAAAGATTTTTGAAAACTTACCAGTTCCGCCTCCTCGAGCTGAAACACAAAAAATTAAAATATATTTTGGGGACAGTGGCAGGACTGGAGGTACGTTTGAAGAAGAGAGCTATATCACTTTTTTTATGTGATTTTGATCATATAACTGACAAACGATTAGCAATAAGTTGGAACATGTTGATACGGAATGAAGGTTCTAGGCCACGCTAACTTGGGCATAATACTACCACATGAACAATATAATCGTAAGGTCTCTAACGGAAGGTAGGGGACTCTGTCTTTTACTGGCGATTCATTTCTGAAGTAGGGCAGCTGCAATGACCGTAAAGAGCGATTGTAGACTACTTCCAGGTTAATGTCGTCTATAAATTCTGTAATTATTAGATTTCATTGAAGAAAGGACACGTTCCATTTGTCAACTTCACTGAATGAAATCATTGAATGCTGATTTTTCAATGCAAGGTATCTGAAACAACTGTTACATAAATCAGACAGGCATGTTTTGAGTTTTCATATTGAGTTCACTCCACTATTCCAAAGTTTCCATGAATAGATATAGTAGTTTATGTTGCCATTTTCTGAAAAGAGAGTTCTTCATTGAACTCACCTTATGTCGTGGCATTGTTCCACCCAATGTGAGTATTCACCTATCCGGCATCTAGATGGTGCAAAATACCTTATGGATAACACACTTGAATTTGTGAGACTTCTAAGTAAATATCAGGCGAAACTCTCTGGCTTACAGAGACAGGTCTAGCCATTAATGGTACCATCAGTACCACACCGTCAGCGGCCAGATCCTTCTACATCTACCTCCTCTTCACATTTTTCTGGAGAGAGAGGCTACATGAAATGCATATAGACTCGTGCACATTGCCTGTTGGTTGACACTGGGAGTAACAGCATTTTGGAAATGACCTCTGCCTTTATGCCTTCAACTGTCAACTACGAACTGCTTTATAAAGTACCGTTTCCGAGTAAAGAAGACCGGATCCTCCGGGAAAAGGAGATATTAAGAGCAGATAGTTGTTGGTTCACAAATGGATCACAAACACCTTCCGGTTCTGGTGCAGGTGTTTTCAGTCGTAGACCCAGGACAGAGACATCAACCTGCCTAGGAACCTATGCTACTGTATTTGAAGCGGAAATTTACGCTATTGAGTTGTTTGCGAAGGGATTGGAAGAATCCTACCTCATGCACAAGTCAATGAAAATATTCTTGGACAATGAAGCGGTGTTGGAAGCTCTTGGCTCCTACCAAGTAACATCTAAATTGGTATCAAATTGCCAAAAACGACTCTCCTCGATAGGGAGACTCAACAGATTGTCTCTTGTCTGGATTTCTGGCCATACTAGCCTGTAAGGCAATGAGGCTGCTGACTCCCTTGCAAAGGAGGGTGCTGCAAGCAGCTTCATCGGACCAGAGCCTGTCATTGGCATCGCTTTAGGCTTTGTCAAACAAAAATTCAACTTCTGGATGGCAAGAAGATTTATGGAGTTTTGGCAGAATTTTCCAGCACTGGCTCACTCCAAGAGTTTATCCACCCTTCGAAGCTTGACACCAAACAGTTATTGGATGTATCGCTGAACTACGATATCCAACAGGCCTTCCTATAGGTCACTGTTATTTGAATCATCATATGCAGAGACTTGGACTGTCGGAAGACTGTGTGTGTTGCCCCTGTTTGGAAAATGATGAAACAGCAGAGCACATACTTCATGCCTGCCCCGTTGGGGACCGATTCAGGTTTTTAAAGTTCAGCAGAGCCGTACTCTTATCATCTGACTTGAAAGACCACTCACCACACAAACTAATCAGTTTCGTTAAGAAGTTGGGTTTATTTGGTCGTGTGTGAATAGTTGTGAGCCACAAGAAACCCTTGCGGGTTGCGGTGTAGGGTCGAGTAGACCCCCTCACTTTGGACCTAACCTAATTTAACTTCAATATCAGATGAGCTCATGCGATATTATACGTAATTCCTTGCTGTGAAGATCTATAATCCATTCATAGAATCCATGAGATCTTACCATGAACAGATTACGGCAGATGTTTCTATGACGTTTTATCATTTCTGTATAATAAGTCAATTGCGGAAAGTTGTCATGTGTGGTGACGATGAATACCAAGAGGGTAGTTTTTTCTGTCACTATGTATCCAACCCATCTGAATCTGGAGTCCTAACTCAGGAGGGCTTCTGAAACCCCATTGAGATTATCAGTTCGTTATTTTTCAAAGCCTTCTACAGAAAACTTCGAACTTTGCGAGGGCTGGCATGTCTGATTTGAGTGGCTAGATACGTTCGTGAATATTACTTCAGAAAACTATTCACAACACGTAGAGCCTCTCGAAAAATTTTTCCTGGGAAATTCAAGGTCATCCACAATATATTTTAGTAGTATCACTATAGACTTTTGAACCTTATCGAGGCAGTTGTGTATACGTCTTTCAGTACCTAGAACCGTGTGGTCGTAGATCCGTTTGTGGTTCTAAAAGCAACTGGATAGTGTTGAACAGGCAGTGTAGTTTGTCAGACTTCACATCCTCTGTAAATTGCCACATACAACCTAGACAGTGGTCTTGTTTTCCAGAGCCTACCTTTCTACGGTCCCAATGCTATTATCATTGTCATGAGTTATACCTAATGTTTTGAGTGATATGAGCTGAATAGCCTCGTTTTGAGTACTCGATAGAAATCACGTGGATGGAGATATTTTATACTTACTGCAATCTACATTATCGAAATCATCGCAGTAGTTTTGAATATGGTTCCAGTACAAACCATCAGGACATGTCTCGGAATACAAGGTGCCTTTGTTACAGTCATATACCTTCTTGCAGTCAGTTGGATCGTAGTAGTATACACTAGATTCAGAATAGAAACACGTGGGAAGAGGCGTTGGACCTGTGAGAAAAAATGTACATTTTTTTATGTGTACTTTCCAGATATTTAATTTTTTCATTATTTTTTTTATCAAGTTTTTTCATCCAGTTTATATCTGTTTTTATATTCTGATCAATATTCATTTTCAGCTTTTTGTAAGAAAATTGAACTGAACAATACAAACACTCAAAAATGATCCTGAGAAGTAACAATTAGTAGTGATTGTGATGCACTGTTTGGAACCTTTGGTGTAGTAATGAATATTACTGAAGTTTTTCCCCAATACCAAACTGTTATTTTATTATCTCGTCACGTGTTTCGACCACCAAGTGATCATCTTCAAGAGGAAGATCAAAACTGATCTTGATCTTCCTTCCATTAACCTTCCTCAACAAATCATCGGAAATTTGTTATTTTCAGGAAGATCAAGATCAGTTTTGATCTTTCTCTTGAAGATGATCACTTGGTGATCGAAACACGTGTCGAGGTGTTAGAATAACGGTTTGGTGTTGGGAAGAACCTCCAGTAATATTAATTACTAGTGATGTCTGAGTGAAAAAACAAATTTCCTATAATTTGTTGAGGAAGGTGAATGTATGAACAAGCTGAATATCTCAAAATATATACATACAATAACAAAAATGAAAAAAATACATAGATCTTGTGAAATATTCCTATGGTTGGAGTATTACATAGGTATATTTACAGAGTTTTCCCTTAAAGTTTTTTTCAAATCGTACAATATGAATTTAAGAATCAACCTTGTGAATATTTTCTACACCACACACTGGAAACATATGAAAACTCTTGAGGAGTTCATGAATAATAATTTGCTGAAATTGTTGAACAAATAACATGATTTCAGTCAAATAAGTATATGACTAGTATCTTTACCACTTGATATTTGTTTTATATCTGAAATAATCACACTCACCTGTAGGATATGTTGGTGTCACTGAAACAAAAACATTTAGATTATGATGACATCGACAGCATACCAATCATGTGAAATTCTCATCATAGGATGGATCCACTAATTTCATAAATAACTTCAATAATCTAGAACTATAAAACTCTTGCTTCTGACATTTTCATGGGACATTAGTAGAGAGCATGCTCTGAAAAATCTCAGCAACTCGATCAGTTTTTCATCATTTATTCATGTCGAAATGACAAAAAACAATACCTCGCTTGTCAAATATTTTGCACATTTTTTTTTTCTTGGAACTGGCCTCTGAAGAAACGAATTGTGTTCATGAAAAATATAAACAACGGAACAACTGAAATATTTTCAAAATTAGCAACATAAAATATCATGAACATCCCCACACCAATTTGGTTGAAGTCTGCTACAGTTATCTGAAATAATGAGGCGCTTATTTTGCCTTAACTATAATGAAAAGGACACCACAGATATGTTATTATATTTTTTTATCATTATTAGAAAAATCAACTGAAAATACAACTTTTTTGTCACTTGTGCTGTCTTCATATCTAGCTTCGTTTTCAATACAATACAGTTTATTGTATGATTTTCACTATGAAGGGTTATAGAACCTCAACCTACTTGGACCAACCCACTACAAATATTCCATATTTTCTGCACAACAAAGGTGTGAATATTGCTTTCAAAACCAACAACAACTTAGGCATGCACATTAAAAATAACAAAGATGAAAGTTTAGTTTCAGAAAAATCGGGAGTGTATAAATTATCATGTAGGTCATGTCCGATGTTTTATATAGGTCAAACTGAAAGAATGTTCAAAGTCCGCATGAAGGAACACAAGAAGAGTTTCCAGAATGGAAAAATGATCCACATATCCCTCTCATTTAATTACAGAGGGACATGAGTTCAACCATGAATACAAGCTCCTCTATTTCCAGAAGAAAAATTTGAAACTTAACCTGTTGGACATAATGGAAATAAACAAATTTAAAAACAGTTAACTAGTTTAGTGATCCAATTATTTTTCTGAAAAAAGGTTGGTTGGATAACAGGATCAATTTTTTCGTGAAAAACAATTGTTTACTTGCCGTCGTTTCGAATTTAATTAAATTTTTCTTCAGGGCTTGAAAAGTAGTTTTTTCGTGTTGATAATATTACTATTTCAAAAACCATCAGATATATTAAATACGTATGTGAAAGAAATGAAAAACATTGCAAACGATCAAAATTTTCGAGACAACACCAACACAAAATGACATGAAACAAACGTGTCTAATATGTCCGATGGTTTTCAAAACAGTTATATTATCAACACGAAAAAACTACTTTTTTTTCGAGCCCTGGAGAGGAATTTGATTAAATTCGAAATGATCGAAATGATCCTGGTTCCCAACCAACCTTTTTTCAAAAAAATTTAAAAATTCTCAATATCTCATGAACGATCAAACTGAATTGAATAATGCGCCATGATTGAGTCTGTTCATTTCCAGGTGAATTTCCCTAATGAATGAATTTACCTTTTCAGGTAGATTCATCCATTAGAAAGTATGTATACGAGTAGGTAATATGTTAGAGTATGAAATGGTTGAAATTTCTAAGTAGGTAACTTTTAGGTTGAGCTTGAGGAAGTATAGCAAAACACGTGTACGGTTTTTGTAAAATCCTTTATAGTGTAAATCATACAATATACTTATAGATTGCATATACATACATACATACTTGTATATTGTATATACATACAATACACATACTTGTATATACATAAAATATACAAGTATCGGCCAGTTCTATTATATTGAATTAAAAAAAATTAGGCCACTTTGCATATCATGAATACCTGCTTTGGAGACCAGCTGTCAGTGATAGTGTTGTCATATCGGTGAAAGTCAGAGTTGTTAATTAGCAGTGATTCCATTATCAATGATTTTACTGCGACAGATATCTTAACCGAATAATTCCATGTGAAACTGGGAGTTTTAATAAAAATGCAGGTAGTGAAAGACCAGAAACTGTAACAACGCCTGAGCTAGAAAAAGCTCCCTTCAAAATTACCAGGAAGATAGCACTGCAGCTGAAAGTCAGCCCAAAAACCGTATAAACAGTTTTAAAAAGAAACCGTCTACACCTATATCATATACCGCTGGCCCAAGCTCTTCTGCCTGGGGTGGTGCAGGTGGTGGAAGACCAGAAACTGTAACAACTCCTGAGCTAGAAGAAGCTATACTTGATGCGATAGAATAAGATCCTTCAAAATTACCAGGAAGATAGCACTGCAGCTGAAAGTCAGCCCAAAAACCGTATAAACAGTTTTAAAAAGAAACCGTCTACATATACAGCTCATATCATATACAGCTGGTCCAAGCTCTACTGCCTGGGGTGGTGCAGGTGGTGGAAGACCAGAAACTGTAACAACTCCTGAGCTAGAAGAAGCTATACTTGATGCGATAGAATAAGATCCTTCAAATAGTACCAGAAAGATAGCACTGCAGCTGAAAGTCAGCCCAAAAACTGTATAAACAGTTATAAAAAGAAACCGTTTTTACCTATATCATATACCGCTGGCCCAAGCTCTTTTGTCTGGGGTGGTGCAGGTGGTGGAAAACCAGAAACTGTAACAACTCCAACTCATTCTAGAAGAAGCTATACTTGATGCGATAGAATAAGATCCTTCAAATAGTACTACCTCGGGATTTCCACCCAGGATTCATGTTTTGCAGGTGGTTGATTCATACGATGGCACACAATAATAATTCTTCATCAAATATTTTACTAAGGGACGAAGTATATTTTTCAGGAGATGCTGTTATAGAATTTCACAATGAGTGGTCATTGGGCCGAAGAAAATCCCTCCGTTATTATGGAAAGTAATTTTCAGCAACAATTTCCGCTGAAAGTTTGGGTAGGAATGATTGTTGACTACCTAATTGGGCCATTTTTTCTATCAGCAAGATCAACAGGTGAATCCTACAATGACTTTTTGCGAGATCATTCACCAGATAGTTGTAGTTTTAGTTGCCTAATCCGACAAAATGAAACGCTACAAAAAAGGCAGTGGCGTTTTTTTTCTCAATATTGTTTGTTGGCAGTGAGGCCCACTGGACTTGATGATTTCAATCTAGTTCGGACCAAATAAGCGTCTGTGTAAGGATATTTATGATATTTTATAAATCCGTTTCTTGCAAATATCAACGCCCTGTATTTCAGGAACGAAGCAACCCCAGACATATATGTTCACTGAAACTTTTTTTCTCAAAACGACATTACGAATCCCCCTCTGAAGTTTTATACCGTACTTAAGAAACATCCTGTATAATAATTCTGATCAACATGACATTCTGTACAGAAATTCACTATATTTAATTTTTGTAGAGGTTTTCAAATAAATTGGGTGTAGAATTGAAAATGAAAGTGACGTAATGGAGGTTATTTTCATGACGTTTCTCCAACTGCCGATCCCAAAATACTTTTTGACATATGAAGGTGTGTAAGTATATGAATGGATTTTTCGACTCACCTGTGGTTACTCTTCCTCGAGCTGAAACCCAAAATTTTTACTTTAGTTTAAATTCATTCAACTCCAAATTCAATATAAATATGCATATATACAGACGGCTCAAAAACCAAAGAAGGCTCAGGATGTGGAGTGTACTGCAGATCACTGAACCTAAGAATTAAGTGGGAAATGAGAAAAAATGCCAACGTGGTTCAAACAGAACCGGCTGTTATCTCAATCGCTACAAAAGAAATAACCAGGAAAGGAATTTCTGGCGAAAACATAACAATCTACACTGATGGTAGACAAGCCCTATTAGCCTTGAACTGACAACTTGTTGCCTGAGGGCTAGTACTAGAGTGCCACCAAGATTTATCCAATGCCTCCGTAGATAATAACATTATCCTGAGGCGGGTTGAAGGTCACGCATTGCCGATTCTCAAGCCACGGAAGCGGGTGAACTAAGTATTTCAGGACCCAGTGACAACTACGGCCTGATAACTTCGACAATTGCGAAACTAGCCAAACGTCAATCCCATGCTCATGCTCAATGGGATGGAATCAAAGGATGCTATCTTGCCAGGATCACTTTGGGCGGCCCTGAGAAGCTGATGCTGAAAAAATATCTGACGATTACCGGAAAAATATACTCTTAAGAGCAGGATTTCTGACTTGCCACTGTCAACTGAGAAAACACCTCCATAATATGGGGCTAATGGACACACCTCCATGCAGGATGTGTGAACAGGAAGATGAAACTGTCAGGCATGTTCTATGCGGAGTTATCGTCAATAAGAGAGTGTTTGTTCGGCGAATCTTGGCCTACACCTTCCGATATAGAGGAGATGTCTCCCAGAGACCTGTCCACCTTCCTGGAAAGGACAGGTTGGACGATGACCTAGAAGGACAACTCCTAGGAGGACACCCTCCCTACTCCACAGATACAATATGAATATAGAATTCACCTGGAATATCAGTAGACTAATAAGAATAATAGACAGTTCACATTACCTCCAAAGAGAAAACTATTATTAATAGTAGATGTTGCCGATTCTCAAGCCACGGAAGCGGGTGAACTAAGTATTTCAGGACCCAGTGACAACTACGGCCTGATAACTTCGACAATTGCGAAACTAGCCATACGTCAATCCCATGCTCATGCTCAATGGGATGGAATCAAAGGATGCTATCTTGCCAGGATCACCCTGGGCGGCCCTGAGAAGCTGATGCCGAAAAAATATCTGACAATTACCGGGAAAATATATGCTTAACAGCAGGATTTCCGACTTGCCACTGTCAACTGAGAAAACACCTCTATAATATGGGGCTAGTGGACACACCTCTATGCAGGATGTGTGAACAGAAAGATGAAACTGTCAGGCATGTTCTATGCGCAGTTATCGTCAATAAGAGAGTGTGTGTTCGGCGAGTCTTGGCCTACACCTGCCGATATAGAGGAGATGTCTCCCAGAGACCTGTCCACCTTCCTGGAAAGGACAGGTTGGACGATGACCTAGAAGGACAACTCCTAGGAGGACACCATCCCTACTCCACAGATACAGATACAATATGAATATAGAATTCACCTGAAATATCAGTAGACTAATAAGAATAATAGACAGTTCACATTACTTCCAAAGAGAAACTATTAATAATAGTAGATGGAATAATATAGTTGAGAGTAAATCAATTAAACATGTTGATGAGTCATTGAATAGCCATAAAAAATTTAAACCCGGTTTTTCATAGGTTGAAATAAAAAGGTAAATTCTATTTTCCAATAATCAAATCCTCTCATAGTAAGTATCTCATCACAAATTGGTCATATTCGTAAATGAACTGACAGAAATTGTTTCGGTAATTAATATTCAATTAAGAAAAAATTCCACATTGTGATGTATTCCTCAGTCTCAAGAATGAATTCTTCTGAATTCTCTCACTTCTGATTTTTTTTAACTCGAATGTCGTTTTGGAAGTAAGTTAAATAGCTCTTCTGCTAGTAATGAAGGATAAGTTGTGTTTTAATTTTCATCCGTTTTATAGAAAAAAAAGAACATAGAAGATAATACCGTCATCTTCTTCTTTCAATGATTGCACTATCAACCGTTTTTATTACAGATGGAATTCAAAAAAGGAGAACATGCAACACAAAACTTGCTGCTGAAAATATTGAGATACTTCTACGACAGATACATGACAAATTACTAAACTGTTTGACGGAAGTGAAAACGGTGACATTTTCCATTTTGAAAACCCAATCTGTGAACGGCAAAAGACTCGATTCACAAACAGTCGATCGAGGTATCTGCAAATGTCACTGCAGAACAACATGAAATTGGGAACCGAAATGTTCGTATTGTTGCAATAGAGTACCGTTATCTTCCTAAATGAACCACAGAAACAGACATTTTCTACTTACAGCAGTCTACTTCCTCAAAATCATCACAGTAGTTCATTACGTGGTTCCAGTACAAATTATTAGGACATACTACCCCGTATCTCTTTCCTTGGTAGCACTCAAAGAACCTTTGGCAGTTGGATGGATCAATATCGTATGTGATTGTGTCAGATGGATATGGGCAGCTGGGATCCGGCGTTACATCTGAAATTATTCATATACTTTTTTTTTCTGTGAAAATATGACACATATTTGATACATACATATTTCATACGAAATGGAAAAAATTATTAGGTCTTTCGCGGCTGGAGATTTCAGTGTCGCTATCAGTTGGAAAAAGTTTACCTTATCCTATGAAAGAAAGCCAGATATTTTCTTCGAAAAAATATCATATCCCTTGCAGGCAGACATGGAGTGTGGTACAAAATAGGTAGGTCATGACTAGCCACATATTCTGAGCTAAAAGAACTTGATTGGATATAACTCACCTTCAAATTATCTGAAGGAACAATTTGTTCAGGCCAGTCTTACGTAACCTACACTGTAGGTTTATGGAGTGACATCTATTAGAAAACAACTACTCCAATGGCTAATACCACAACAAAGAATCCATCCTGGGTATATTCATAGATATCGAGGAAGCGTTTGATAAAACAACCTTTCCAACAATTTCCCAGCAACTACACTCCAGGAATGTATCCCTGGACATTTAAGATGCTCTCTAGTAGAGCAATAAGTATTAATGTAGAAGACATCACAGTGAAAGGACTGGTCATGAGGGGATACGCACAGGGAGAGGTCTTATCACCCCTTCTCTGGAACATAGTTCTGGACACCCTGATTATTCACCTTAACAAAAATGGATTCTACATAATTGCGTACGCAGATGACATAGTTATCTTGCAGATCGGCAAATTTGTAAACACACTGTGCGACAGAGAGCAGGATGGGCTCAAATTAATAGAAACATGGTGTGAGAAACAATCCCAAGAAGACTGATATGGTCCTTTTCGCCATGAAAAGAAGTTCAACGGGCTTAAAACCTCCCGAAATCTCCAAAAGCAAACTAAACTTCTCTGAAGAGGTGGAATACTTTGGTACTATCCTCGACAGAAAGCCAACATGGAACTCTCATCTACAGAGTAGAACAAAAAGAGCATACGTGGCTTATGAGCAATGTCGGAGGACAGTGGAACGCGCATGGGGTCTTTCACCCCGTGTGGTCACCTGGATCTACACTGCAATAATGAGACCTATGTTAACGTATTGAGGCTGGGCCTGTGGCGGAAAGCGCTTACTGCGCAACCTCTGCTGCAGGCAACAAGCGATGCAATTGAACCCAGGTTTGTGTTTAATAAACCCTACAAAATAAAAATTGAGCAGAACATAGAGTCAGATGATACAAATGCAATACGGATTTATACAGACGGCTCAAAAACCAAATGGGCTCAGGGTATGGAGTGTACTCCAGATCACTAAGCCTAAGAATTAAGTGGGGAATGGGAAGAAATACCAGCGTGGTCCAAACAGAACTGGCTAGTATCTCAATCGCCACAAAAAAAATAACCACGAAAGGAATTTCTGGCAAAAACATAACAATCCGCACTGACAGCAGACATGCCCTATTAGCCTTGAACAAAAAAACCTCAGTGCTAGCACTAGAGTGTCGCCAAGATTCAGCCAAAGCCTCGGTAGATAATAACACTATCCTGAGGTGGGTTGAAAGGCACGACAGGAGTGAAGGTAATCGCATTGCCGACTCTTTAGCCAAAGAAGAGGCTGAACTAAGAATTTTAGGATCCAGAGGCACCTACGGCCTGATGACTTCTACAATTGCGGAACTAGTCAAATGTTACACCCATGTTCAATCTTCAAAGAGATGGGACGAAACCAAAGGATGTAATCTTGCCAGGATCACCTTGGGCGGCCATAGGAAGCTGGCGCCGAAGAAATATCTGGCAATGACCAGGAAAACTCTACGCCTAACAGTAGGATTTCTGACTGACCACTGTCAACTGAGAAAACACCTCCATAATATGGGGCTAGTGGACACACCTCTATGCAGGATGTGTGAGCAGGAAGATGAGACTCTCAGGCATGTCCTGTGCGAGTGCCCGGAGTTATCGTCAATAAAAGAGTGTGTGTTCGGCGAGTCTTGGCCTACACCTGCCGATATAAAGGAGATGTCTCCCAGTGACCTGTCCACCTTCCTGGAAAAGACAGGATGGACGATGACCCAGGAAGACAACTCCTCGGGAGGATGTACAATGGGTCACATGTGCCCTAAGTACTGTGGGCTTTCACTCATCCTCCCTACTCTCCCTACTCCCTACAACTACTCTCATGGCTAATACCACAACGAGCATTGTAGTATATCCGACATGTATCAGTGCAGGATTCTTCACAGAAGTATTTCCTGCATTTGCGATACAACTATCGAAATTGATTTCCAATTATTGGAACGGGCACACTCGTACACCAGTTTCAGACTGTTTGGCCTCTCGTCAGTGTAAGGTAGTATCCTACATCATCAAGATCATCAAGAAGTCGATGATCTCCTATAATTCAAAATTAAAATCGTTTCAGAGTATGATACCGCGAACAAAGCTGAAGCGAATGATAAGCAACATATTTGCCATCGCTCCCTCTGCTTGTAGACGAGGTCCTGACCAACCGCATATCTAAATGGTCCAAATCAATACTGAAGAGTATTCTCTCTACAGTATTCATAGTAGACTTGATGCAGTTATGATGTGATATCAGTATGAATGATCAATTGACAAATTTTCATTAGCAAACTCATTCGAATTACGGGAAAATCATTCAGTCTGTGCAATGGACAAAAAGTATACTGGGGTGCGACTTGTTCATTCAATTTGATCTAGCAGTTTATAATCGGGAAGGCGTAGATCTTTCCAAAGATTTGAATTTTCCATTGAATGAACAGTGATTTGTTTTCTCTATACCACAGGAGAGATTGAATGAAAAACCATAAAAAATTCTTACAATCACAACCAGTTTTTGATGATTAAAAATGAGGTTTTTTGTTATTTATTGGAATTTCTGCTATTGGAAACATTCCTCCAAAACACACACACACTTTCTGTTGTTGTATAATGAAAAATGATTTTTTTATTTATTTCTTGGCGAAATCCTTGATGATCACATTTTTAAAGACTGGCTCACAACTTTTTTTCAATAAAAACGACATTTTTTTTCAATTTCTTGTCGAACCTAACCCAACAAATCACCTCATTCTCCGAAAAGATCTACTCCAATGACATAACCCAAAAAGTCACCAACCAAATGAGCTAAACCAAGTCAACCTAACATTGTCCATCCCAAATGACCTAACCCAAGTCACCTCAACCTCGTCCACCCCAAAAGGCCTAAACTAGGTCACCCCAACATCCAAGTCCACCCTAAAACGGTAGTGGTCTAACCCAACCTCCAAGACACCATACCAACCTCCAAGTCCATCTACCCCAACTAACCCAACTAATAGCCACCCTACCCTACTCCTACCCTACCCTACCCTACTCAGTTTTAATCTTCCTCTTTGAAGATGATCACTTGGTGATCGAAACACGTGTCAAGGTGTTAAAAATAACATACAGATGATTTCTTCACTTTCACAATGTTCACTATACGAGTTCCTCGATGTTTATGATTTGATTTTTATTTCTCATACAAGAAAGATGGAGAGCTATTTTAAAATGAACACTCACCTGGAGGAGCCACACTTGTCTCTGGAATAAAAATAATGGTATTATTATCATTCAACATCAGTAAAAGTGGGATGACATGAAAAAAATACAACCATTGAAAAACCATGAATTTAAGATCATTGAAAATTGTGGAAGAACAGTTACACATAAGTTATAGGTAGCTTTTAGTTCGTATATACTTGAATATTTGGCTATACAGGACATTCAAATATCTTTCATTGAATTTGTTTTATATCTTATACATGCGCACTACTGGTTTGTGTCAGAAAAGTGCCGGAAATCGATCATTTGAAAAGCTGGCGCATGTAGGGAAGCTCAAAACAAGTTGTAGCCTGTTTGGCACAACTGTCTTCCATACTCAAATGGAGTCTTAGCGCCATCCGTTATTCAGTTGTTCAACGTACTCAAGTTGTTGCTGAGATTTTCATAATGGATACAAATATCTGACAAATAATTTGTCTCAAATTTTGCATTGAAAATCGAATTTTGTGTGCTGAAGCGCTAAAAACGTTGAAGGAGACTCGCGGCGACTCGACTTCATCAAAAACGATTGATATGAGTGGTACAATGCATCTAAAATGGAATGTGATGGAAGATTTGCTTCGCTCTGGTCGGTCATGAACATCCTCAACTCAACTTAACGTCGCTAAAGTGAAAGAAATGGTGACTGATGATCGTTGTTTATGTCTTAGACAGAGAGAAACGAGTTTTAGGCATGGAACACGTTCTCGCTCGACTTGTGCCAAAAGACCTGGATTTGCCTCCTGACACATGTGTTCTCCTGACACATGTGTTCACGAATTCGATAAGCAAACCAGACAAGAAGGGTGTCTTGTCTTTCAACTGACTTGAAACTGAAGAATGCTCGTCAAAATTAATCTAAAGTATTTAGTTTTTTTTTTCTATTATCGCGGTGTTGTACACTCGCAATAAACAGTGAACAAAGATAATGATCTGAGCGTTATGCGACGTTTCAGAAAGCGAAAGACCAGATAAGTGGAGAGGAAATTCTTATATTTTGAACCACATTCACGCACCGTCTCACCATAATTGTGAACGAGTTTCTGACCGAAACCTCAACAAATTGTTTCGAACAGCCACCATATGCACCTGATTTGGCTCCGGTCGTTATTTTTATTTTGAGAAAAGAGTCTACCTTGAACGAGGTTCAATAAATTTGGAAGAAAAATAAACATTTTGTGTTTCATTGACCAACTCTCGGTACTTTTTTGGCCTAGCTGTACGGTTTGAAGGCGCATCAAATGCAACGCCGAGCGTCTAGTAAGTACTAACCCTTAGTTTAAAATATATTCGTCAGTACTGTGCTAAAATTCATTTAGGTATATACTCACGTTTTGCAGTGCAGCCAGATAAATATGGTAAAACACACTCCGAAGTTGTTGGATTCCATTCGAGACCTATTGCACAACCCATCTCATACAAGTTTCCTTGATAGCATTCGTAGTAAAGTGTACAATCGTAGGGGTTCGCAAAGTACATGAGAGGGGCATCGGGGGGACACACAAGTGAAAGACCTTTCCCTTGTGCCAAACCTAAAAAAAGGGGTCGTTATTTTCTTGATGTAACTTCAGTACCCAAAATTGAATTGAGTTCAGAGTGTTCCAATCAAATTTCTTATATTGTGATTCCGTTCATTTCGTATATTGATCTCTTCCAACATGAATACCACGTTCCAAAATTGAGGGTCGACTCTTTCAGTTGTATTGCCAATGAACAACGGTAGGAACGGTAAAAAAACTGCCTAATCCGCATATAAACATATGGTAAAGTACAATTAAAAAATGATGTTTTTAACAGAAGAAGATGTTCCTGGGGAAAAAATTAAATTTGCAACTGTAAAAGATAACAATGTTGTAGCAATTAAACGTTGGCTTGCATGCCGTAGTTCAAAAGTAACTGAAAAAAAAGTGGATCAATAGACAGGTTAATACCTATACAGACTAGTAAAAGAGTAGTGGTAGATTCAAACTGTAATAAAGGAAATTTAAAATAATTATGAATTTCAGATTTATTTCCGAGTGAAATATTCACAAATTTTCGTTATGATAATTACTAATTGGAATTTCATCATTGTTGTAATTGGACTTACCCAAAATGAATGGGATGAACGCAATGATCAGATCTGAAAATAAAACATAACTTCAATATTATTAGGTACAAAAACCACAGAAAAATTATGCAGAATGTAAAAAATAGTCATTGACCATATGAGTTTGATGAATTCATCTCAATTTTAGTTCATAGATGTCTGTCGGAAAGTGGACGTCTTGCGGGAAAAAATTTCGAATGTGTTCAGTTTTTTACTCGGCTCTGGTACAACTGAATAGACCTCAGAAAAGCATTTGCACTTTGTCAATCTTCTACTTCTTCTTCTTATTTTCTGACTCTGCTCCGTTAGCAATTTGCAGTCATCGGTGATACACTTTGTCTTTGAAATTAATGAACAGTTGTACAAGTATACCAAAGTAACTAAAAAATTCGAGTTCATCTACAATGAAATCGATAAGCGGAAGTACGTAGTTTCAATATTGTTTGATTTGGCTAAGGCGTTTGATTCAGTAAATAGTGACATAATGGTTAGTAAGTTATATAACATTGGCATTAGAGGGTTCCTTTCTGGAATGAATAAAATCTTTTATGGAAGATAGGAAAATGATAGTGACTGTGAATAATGCAGTATCTGATATTCAAGATATTATCCTTGGGGTACCACAGGGGTCCATTTTAGGCCCACTGCTTTTCTCCATCTATATAAATGATCTTCCGAAATATATAAAACAAGGTTTCATTATCCTATTCGCAGATGACACTACCATTACAGTTTCCAGAAATACTGTGGAGGAGCTAGAAAACAACAATAATTCAGTCATGGATGACATGATTTCTTGGTGTGATAGAAATAAGCTAAAACTGAACGAAAGTAAAACAGTATATTTAAGCTTCGCGTTGAGGAAAACAGTGAAACTCAACAGCATCCAACATTCGGAAACAGCCAAACTCTTTGGTATATTTATAGATAAAACCTTGTCTTGGGAACCCCATATCGATTATGTCTGCAAAAAATTTAATCAAGCGTTATTTGCAATACGACAGATCAAAGACGTGCTTAGTTTAGATGGTATCAGGACTGTTTACTATTCATTGGCGTACTCACATATGGCTCAAAATGTATTAATGTGAGGTTTTTCTGTGGGGGCAAAACCTGTTTTCATTGTTCAAAATAGAATAATCAGAACTATCTTCAATATTGCACCCAGGGATAGCTGTAGACCTACTTTCTGCAAGAACAAGATGCTAACGTTACCTTGTATCTATATATATATAAAGCTCTGCTCCATGTGAAAAATAATGTACCCAATCTGAGAGATGAATCAATAGTTCATAACTATGCAACATGTGTGTGAATTATTGCATAATTGACGTATTCATTCATTCATTTCATTCATCAATTTGTTCTTTCTAGTCATTGAGATATAAACAGACATAATGTCTACGACAGTTTTTCATACTTATTTTACTACACAATTTCAACAAAATTTCATAATTTTTTCCACTAAAAATGATAGCCAACCACTTTTATACAAATATCATCTATACTGGGCCGTGGGTTTGATTCCCGCCTCGACCAGATATTTTTCTCGAGAGAATTTATCTGGTTGAAGCTGGAATGATTCTACGACCGTGTTAGGAATCACAGGTTAAAAGGTAAGATCTCGTTACTCCTTAGCTCGTACAAGTTTCTCAACTTCTGAGAGTTGTCGTTCGTATGGGGGCGACAATTGATTAACGGAAAAACAGGTTTTAAACAGACAGACAGACTGAGAAAGGAAACCAATAGTAAAGCTGTCTAAACATTGAAAAAGCAATTATTCACAATATTTGGGTATGAAATATTATAATGATAATGATAGGAAACCGTGGGCCCAAGTAGGTTACCTGGTGTACACCAGATGAAATGTTAAACTTCAAAAAACTTCAAAAAGAAAACTTTGAGTACTTACTTTCTTCTTTACAAAACTTGTTATATCTTACTACGAGTCTATTCAAACTTAATCATTGAACGGACAATTCTTGTTTCGAAAAGCATGGTTTCCATAGGTTCGGAAAGTGGTAGAACGTGTACCCCTTCGAAATTAGTACCCATTCTTTTTGAAGGCAGTTTTAGGTGATTGAATTCCACAGGAAGACTCTCAGGTTCACAAATACGTCGTACTCTTCAACCAACGTTCTCTCTTGTTGGAATTGTTACAGGCCGGATTGGGAGAATCTTAAAGAAACACGACGTGGAACCGATATTCAGGCCAACAAAAACCATCAGAGAAAGTCTAAGGTTAGCTGAGGACACCAAAGAACCTACAGCAACACCCGGGGTATACCAGATTCCTTGTAGCTGCGGGTCGTTGGTATCTTTATTATCATAGATGATATCACGAATGAAGCACTGATATACTCGACCACTCCTAAGCAAATTTAGAGAATCGCCAACAGGTGAAATTAAAATCATTATCAAGTATTTTGAATTCTGGAAAATAAGCATAGTTCTCTCAGTAACAAGATATTTTTTGAGTATCTACTGATAACATACAAAATTATGTTGCGTAACATCCGTTGTTATTCACAGATTTCATCTATGTCGAATCATTCTGGTTCAAAAAATCACATACTGACGAACGCACTTAGTCGAAATCAATACGGTATTATATGAAAAACGAATCCTAGATGTTATATATCGTATTTACGGATTATGTCTCTGAATCTATTCATCCTGAAAAAGATTATGTCTCAGAATCTAGTCAACCTGAAAAATGTTTCGCACAAACTGAGATACAAGAAATAAACAAGTGTTGAACTTAGATTTGACTTTATTGTTGTGAATGAATTTGCTTACACTATTATTCGTTCTATGAGCCACGTTCAAGTATTTTTTTGAACGAGCGATACTATTGGTGGGTTCACCAAAATGTCCTATAGCGGGTAGATCTGGTCCATGGCTTGTTTTTGTAGTTTTTTGGAAAGAGTTCAAAGTTCAAGTTCAAGTTCAAAAACATGAGGAATCACACGTTAAAAGGTAAGACCTCGTTAGTCCTTAGCTCGCACAAGTTTCTCAACTTCTGAGAGTTGTCGTTCGTATGGGGGCGGCAGCTGATTAACGGAAAAACAGATTTTA